AATGCTGCCGACCAGTGTCCCACGGGAATCTTGCTAGCCCCGGAGCAAACGGCACGGCGCTAGAAAGGCCTCCCGTCTCACCTGCTCTAGCTCATCTCGTGCCCTCAGTCTGCCCAGCTCTCATAAAATGTGCAGTCTTCTCCACTGGAAATTTATTTGCATCCTTTATAATCCATTCATCTCTCCCACGATAAGAAAAAGATCTTGATATCTGCGTTACAGCTCAGTGCTTCAGGATTTGATCCCAGGGAGTCAAATACACCAAGGAAGTCTCTCTCTCTTTCTCTCTCCCTCTCCTTTTTTTTGCTGCAATTTTTCCTTTCCTCTCCAAATCCTCTGGATTTCACAAAGAAGTTTCAAAAGCAAACACCAGACAGCCAGAGGTGGCTGATTCTTTTCCAGCTGCTGCTTCTTTTTCAAACACCTTCATGCCAATTCTCTTGTCTCCTTACTCCCATACTGAATGGCTGATCCATCAGTGTGGGACCTCGGCAACTCATGCAATCTAAAGCCGTTTTCCTGCAGCTTTAAGTTTCTGGATACCTTTGGCACAGACACAATACCGAGGTTGGTATCGCCACCACAAAGAGCAATTAATTCTCACCTGCGACATTGTGCAAACATCAACCCCAACCTGTTAGAATCAGCTCTAGTGGGACCAAATAGCATTTACTGGGTTTTTGACATGCATGATAGAATTTATTAACTTCTGTTGCTTAAATCCTGAGCACAGCTCTGAGTTACAGGCTTTGCAATCCTTTTGGGAACTGTTTTTTAAACAATTTCAAGTGGAAGAAGAGGATGGAAGTGAACTTAACTCTTAATATTGTAATTCTTTCCCTTCGTGCCATTTCATCTCTGTAGATGCCCCCTTGCTTGCTTTCTATTCGCATTTCCATCATAACTGGCTGAATGCTTCTCCCTCCTTTTGCGATGGCTGTATATAATACATGTGTATTAATTCTGCCTTACACACCATCCATTTATATATTTCTCACTACTTCTCCCCTACATACCACCCGTTTATATATTCTCTTGCAAGGAATTCACGGAGACTTGCTTAGCCCTTCACCGCTCCCATTTTCTCACAACAACCCTACAAGATAGATGAGGTGAGCAAACCAAAGGTTTTTCTGTACAAGGATTTTAACCCATCCTTTTGCCAAGGCTTCTCCTTCCAGATACTTCCTCTATATTTCTCCTTTCCCTCCTCTGCCTTTTTCTACGTTCCTTTACAAAAACACTAGGTGGCGCTGTGGTGTAGCAGGACTGAGCAATGACACTAGGGTTTCATTCAGTGATTCTGGGAAATACCAGAATTTCCCTGGTCAACCCCGCCCCACCGATGATGGCTGCGTATCAAGCACATGCAAGCTAACATGAGGAGTCACAGGCATGCAATAAATGCCTTGCATAGAAAGGCCTATAGCCAGCACGTTCCATAGCCACAGGATGGCTAGCACCGGGATTTCTAGAGCTCCAGTCCAACACACTAACCACTACCTCACACTGTCTCTCAGATGCCTGTCTCTCCTCTTTCCCCCAGCACAGGTTAAAATAGGGGGAAGACCAATTTTTGACAAAAACAGTTCTTTCCTTGCACTGATCTTCTGAATCAATTGGCAATACAAAATTCCTACACCATCCTTCAAAGGAGTAGAGCAAGGAAACCATACATACATGAAGTACATGTATTATATGTACGATGTAATCATGTCTATTTCTGATGTTCGAACGATGAGTGTTGCTGCTTATGTAGCTCAACCCACACGCAACAGGAAGAGATATGCAGCGAAAACCACAAAGTTTGCAGAAACGCACACAAAAACCCGTCTAGTGGGACACTCCCAATCTAGGGGGCACAGTGGGGTTCTCCGCTGGAACCACAAAAGGCTGACCTACTGTTTGGGGCAGGGAAGGGCATAGCAGGCGGGAGGGGAACTGGCGCATGCGGAAGAGCAAGCTGACAGCCACAAGCACGGAGCAGAAATGCTGCACACAACAGCATTTTAACTTCCACGGGAAGCCAATTTCTGCACCGCATCTCGTGCGCCACTGTGCGCGGCTTCTCCTGCGTGTGCTGCACAAGCAGATCAGGAGAAGGTACAGCAAGACTTAGTCGTCTGAATGACGCTCGATTCCACCATGCTTGGGGACTGGGCAGCGGGGTGCTTGCAGGACCTTCTTCTGGAGCAAGGTGCCCAGGGTTGCATCCTGAGTCAAGGCAAACAACTGCCACAAGTCCCCCATGCTGTCCATGGCATTTCCTGCTCCAAAAAGGACCAGCGTGGCCAGCCCTCCACGAAGCAAGCAGCCACACGAGGGGTTCTCTTGGGCGGGGGGGGCACAGCAACAATTTGTCAGAGGATGGAGCTGGATGTGCTGGCTGGCCTGGCTAGCACCTGGCCCAACCTGCCACCCGCCGGTAGAGCAGACGATGCTCTCCCATCAACAGCTCTGAAGACCTGATGGCCGGCCAGGGCAGCTTGCACACATGCTGTGGCAGAGGGGATCGTGCTGCCCATCGCAGGGGATCAGAAAGGCCATGTGGGCTACTCATTGTACTTGCACCCCACCGTTTTTTCCCTTCCAAGGAACCGAAGATGGCTTTGCTATGCCTTCTCCTCTCGATCATGCCGAGCTAGATGGGACCCAGGTACGAAGCAGGTGCACCCAGTTCCTAAACTCCACCTGGCGCTCCCCCACTCCCTCTCCGCTCTATGCATCGCCCAAGCCTCTTCCCCAGCCCGGCCTTGCCAACCCGTGAAGGCCGCGGGCCTCTCTGTTCGGACAAACGAGCTGTGAGCTCTTGGAGCGCCAAGCCGGGCTGGCACAACACGCCTGCTCCCCGCAGCGAAGGGCAGCCTGTGCCATCACGCACCTTCCCACCAGAGCCGAGCCCTCTCCCCCTGCGCCTGCGCAGCTCAGCCGCCCAGCCCTTACCTGGGTTGCCATTCTGGGCAGCTGTCGGAAGCCCCCGTGCTGCGGACGATGCCACGCTGGAGTACCTGGCAAGGTTCTCTTGGCACCTGCTACAGGTGCTGGAGGAGGGCCCACCTGGAGGGGGAGCAGGGGGCGGTACAATCCGTCGTTCCTCCGCCTCCCCAAGGCAGGTGCGTGACGCTCAATGCCAAAGGACTGCAAAAGTGCAGCACAGGTAGGAGTGCCCAGATTTGTAAAAGACCCCCCCCCCCAAATATTTAGGACCCTCTCACAGCTATCTTTAAAGTGGGGAAAATGCTATCAAAAATGCTGACTTGCCCACTGAGGATTGAAACATCTTTAATGCACATGTGAGGCTGACTGTTGGGTGGTGGGAAGAGAGACTGGGAAGCTGGGAATGGGGGGACGGAATGGAGTATTCCAGAAGAGGGCATGGCTGGCTGGCTGGCTGGCTAGCGCCCTGCACTGCAATGCTTTGTAGCAGGTCCTACTTCTGCAAAGCACTGCATGTAGACTGCACTCCAAGTTGTTCTCTTTCCCCCCTCATTCTGCTTCTGCGGCCCTCTAGTGCAGTCCAAACTGCCGAAATAGACCAGCCTGAGGTTTGTCTGGCTGTTTGTTGTAGCTTAGACAGGAAAGGGTGGGAGCGGGAGAGGGAGAGACAGCTGCAGCTCCTTAATACCTGTCAAACAGCAGACCACGGCACAGCCATTTTACTTCTTGTAAGGGGAAACCCCAACTGCATCTGTGGCAGCAAAGTAAGTCCCTCTGAGGAGCAGACGCCACGGAAACCGAGCCAGGGCCACAGGCAGGCCTTTCGCCTCCCACCATGTCCCATCTTCCCCGTGATACAACAGACTGCCCAGGTTTGGCATGCAGCTCCATCACGCAACTTTGCCGTGAGCTTTACGCCAGCGGTCAGTTCCAACATGGATGTTGGCACGCTCCGGGGGATCCTAACCTCTTGCTGAAGCCTGCCCCAGGGGCATTGCAGCCTCTTCCGTCTAGTCTCTCAACCTCAGCCTCACGCTGGAGGGTTAAACAATCTACCCAGTGCAGCTGTGGCAAAGAAGGGCTTCCCCTCCAGCTCAACCAGCAGAAGGAAATCTATGAAAGGAAGCAGGGTCTGAAGCACATCTGTTAGAAGAGCGTAGCTGGCAGAGAAGCCAGGAAAAAGCAGACTGGCAAGAGGTCACGTCAAGAGGGGCACTGAGCTCAAATCTTCCATCCAGTCCAACGCTGCCCATCTCCAGTCATTGCAATCCATCACCAGGGAGTCCTTTCCTGCCTGTCGGTCCGATTGGAAGCATGCAAAGGGATGGCAAAGCCACGATCTATAAATAAACTCCTGGGACCTGCGCATGCAGCACCCAAAAACAACCACGCAGACCCCGCATTCACGCACCCGCAACTGCCCTACACGGGGACGCACAACCTGCCCTCCCCCACCCGAAACCCCCTTGAATCTCCCAGTCAGAACTAGAAATTTCTCTCATGCATGGTTCCATTTTAGCATTTCTATTGCTACATTTGGGCGGGGGAGGGGGAGAGGGCCTCGACTGCCTGCAAAAACACAAAGGCCACGTTTTTAAGACATGCCATTTGTCGGGCAGAGGTGGGGAGATTTACCCCTTCAAACGCCACGACAACCTTTCAACACACACGCACACACACCTTTTAAGAACCTCCAAGATACGAAATGCTGTCCACCAATAGCTACATAAAAATATTTTTCCCGCTCCTAAAGGGCAATGATAAAAATCAAAATACACATTGCCCCCTCCCGTTTTACTCCTCTTCACTGCTAATCCGTATGGACTGGCGAAGAGCCCTATCTGAACGCTATGACAGAGCGGAGGGTCTCCCCTGGACATGGAAATCGGCTTCGACAAGGTCCCTGCAGCCCAGCGGCGATATTCCCAATAACGAGGCTGCTTTTGCCAGTGGCATCTTCTCCCCTCCCTCGCGAACGTGTCCGGGTTCCTTGGGGTCACGGTGCGTGCACTAAGCGCCCCGCACGATGCGGACTGCAGATCAGGAGGTTTGCAGACTCTTACCTTCATCGTGTTGCCAAAAGCACCCCCACTTAGGGGAAAAAATAATCTTAAAAGCCGGCGGGAAAGGAGGGGGTTCTCCTTGCGCCTTCTTCGACGGATCTCTCTGCACGGCTGCGAAGACCGGGCACGATTCTCCTTTTACCCTCTCACTCTCTTTCTCTCTCTCGCCCCGCCACCAAAGCCCCCGGAAGAAAAAGCCCGAAAAGCAGCCCGGTGAGAAGAAAGCACCCCTTCTGGGACGCGCTGCAACCCCGCTCAGGATGAACGCGGCTCCTCGGGCGGCGAGCGGCGCCTGACCACTGCTCGCTGCGATTGCATCACGGGCAGGAAGGCGCGCTGCCCGCCGTTGCCGCCAGGGGGAGCAGGAGCGAAAGTGCTCCGGACGCCTCGCGCGGCGGGGCTGGCAGGGGCGGCGGGTCCACGTTGCAGCGGAGCTTCCAAAATGCTCTCTGTTGCAGCATGCGGAAGACGGCCCGGATGCTCGTTCTCTTCCTCCTCCTCCTCCTCCTCCTCGTTCGGCTTCAGCATATGCCCAAGGGCAGATGCTTCTCACGGTGCGCGCTTCCTACAGAGGCCTTTCTTCAGGCAGGCTTGCTCGGGCTTGCCATTCAAGGTGCGATCCTAGGATATTTTAGGCAGAAAAATAAAAAAAGCCCTACAACATAGCGTTCCCTAGTCCACCTGCTGTTCAGAACATATCGCTCCAGGAAGAGATCTGCAGGTCTAGAAACTTGTTGCACTTTTGGTGATCTTGAAGTTGGCCTAACCAAAACGTTACAGTGGATGAATTTTTATTTTTTCCTCTGATGGCATTTTTAACGTTAGGTTCTAAACATTCGAAAGTATATTGCGTCTGCATGCAAGTCAATGGAGTGCAAGGTTTACACATGGATGCAAACTTTCCATCTGGGCTGAGAGATGTGGTGAAGAAAAGAATCCTAGGAGTAGTTGGACAGAATATTGATCAGGAATGCTTGAGACTATAGGATTGTTCTTTTTAAAGATGGCATCCTATTGTGGTTAGGTGTTATCAAGTCATCTCCGACTTGTGGCCACTCTGAAGGAAGGGGCTCCAAAATGTTCCATTCATGACACCTCTGCTCAGCTCTTGCTAACTCAAGGTGGTGGCCTCCTTTATGGGATTGAGCCATCTCATCTTTGGTCTTCCAATCTTCTCCTGCCTTCCACTTTTCCTAGCATAATGGCCTATCATTTATTAATGCTACGTCCTAGCATTATTTAGGATTTCCCCCTAAGTGTGTTGACAGTGATAGGTTGTGTGTTTGGGGGATTTGGAGCTGGAAATCCAAATCCACCCCAGTATTAATAGTTGACTGAATGCAGGATTGTCCTGAGTGACTTTGTACATGCGCAGGATTGTGCCTGAACCAGAACTCATTGTGATGATCCTTCCATTCTATTGTCTCTGTTGCTTTATTAACGGTTATTTTAAGCAGTGATTTCTAATTGGTGTATTTTAAGTGGTAGTGTTTGAATTGTTATTAGGTAAAACTGTTTATTTTCCCAATATTTGAACAGTTAATTGGTTTTATCCTTGTTTTTATCATCATTTGTTGGATGCAGTGTGTTGTGTGTTGTTTGTTGTATATGGTTGGGTTTGTTTTGTTTTGTTTTTTGTTCTTTGTAAGCCATCCAGAGACTTTTAGTATTGGGACTGCATATAAAAACTTTAAATAAACAAACAAACCATTTCAGGATTTTAGTATGTTAAGTGGTATATAACATTAACATTAAAATATGCTGCCCTTTCTCAAGGTTAAGTCTGCAATCCAGTGCCTGTGTTCCTGCAAGCATAGTGGTGCAGCTAGGAATGCAATGCTGGGCATGTTTAGAGAGCAAAATGATGATTGTTGTAGAATTTTTTTCTACTTAAACATGCAAAGGATCATATTCTACTGGATGTTAGGACTTGGATGTAATGGTTGTGTTAGCCCAGCCTCCTTCAGATATTGTATGCACAGAATTAATATTTATCTTCCCTGCTGCTCCACTTTATACTTGGGACCTCTTAAACATTCCAGGTTTGCTTTAGAGCAATACAAACAAGAATGAGTTCCTCACTTCTGATAAAAAGAAAAAGAAATGGTTCGAAGCAGTCGCACATTTGAAATACTTAAAATCAGACTGCAGGAATACAATGGAAATCATTTTCATTGCACGGCTAGTCAACACTGAGAGCCAGTGTGGATTAGTGGTGAAGAGTGCGGGACTGGGACTCAGGCGATCTGGGTTCTGGTCCCCGCTCAGCCATGGAGCCAACTGGGCGACACTGGGTCAGTCCCAGCCTCTCAGCGCAACCAACCTCACATGGTTGAGGAGGAGAATTATGGAAGCCCCCTTGGGTTCCTTGAAAGGAAAAACGGTGAGAGATGCTAATAATCACATTGATGGTGGAATAAGCACCATTCCTGTTGTAAAAAAAAGGATTGTAAATTTTAAAAACATGAATACAGTGGGCCTCTTTAAAGCTTCCCATCCCTTGACTGTTAAATATTTTAAAATCTTAAAATATTTAAATTCTTATTTCATTTTTGGAAAGAAAAGCCTGCCATGTTGGTGTTAGTACCAGTCCAGTTTCCCGTCTTCATAACCTGTCACCCCCGGAATGATCATTTAGAGATCCCCTGGGCTCCAGAACCCATCACCAGTGTCCAGTCCTAGCTGGAGTACTGTGTGAGCCAACCCCATGGAATGCTGGTTACATCATCAGACTGCCACCATCTTGAATATTCCAGCTGCAACTGTGCTTGGTTGTGTTATTTGAACCTGGCAGGGATGGACCAGTTTGAACCAGTAGTTTTCAACCGTTCCACAGCTGGGGACCGGCGAAAACAGGAAAACCGCCTTGGGGACCCCGGAGGCAGAAACAAAAAGCACCATACACTATACACATACAAAAAGCAGCTTACACAGATGTGCATTGTTTCCAAACATAATATCAAAACTTCTCCAAAACAACCAGAAACTGAGCAACAAAAATGCCAATAAAAGAAAAAAATACCAAACTTGGTGCAGCGTGGTTCCCAGCCGGCTCCATCTCTCCCCTCCTTGCCCGCTGCCCCCCGGTGGCACCGGCACACCCCCCACAAATGTGATGGCAATCAAGGAAGAGGTGGCCCCTGCACTGGTCCACAGCAAGTGGGATATGGTCCCGCCACAGACTGGCAGGGAATCTCTCATGGATTGGTGCCAGTCCACAGACTGGTGGTTGAAAACCACTGGTTTAAATAACCTAAAATAGGCCACATTCCGGTTCCTCATGGAATACTCCACAATCCACTGTGGCTTAAATCAGGGGTTGGCAACCTTTAACACTCAAAGAGCCATTTGGACCCGTTTCCCACACAAAATAAAACACTGGGAGCCACAAAACCCTTCTGACATCTAAAATGAAGATGACACTGCATATATCGTTTTTTACCTTAATGCTATATATGTCTTCATTATGATTTAGCTGCAGCTCTTGTTCAGTCACTAAAAGTTTTAATCTTACATTATAAACTAGTAGGACTCCTTTCATATATTTTGAATAGGAGAACAGCTTCCTGCAGAGTCAAAGTGAGTGCTAAAGGGCTGCGTGCATCAAACAGGAAACCCCATAAGTTCGTCAGCAGTAAAAGCAAATTGTTTGGTTTTCTTCAGAAACTTTTCTTCGATTTATCCATGGTTGGCCTGGGGGGAGGGGGAAGCTCAGAAAATGGCCTGATATAGGTGTGTTTAGTGACTGATTAGCAGATAAACAGTCAAGTGCTGTGAATTGTGACAGGCCCCAAGCACAGCTTTTAACATTCAGATGAAGGAGATTACATTGGGACAGAGAGAGAGCCTGCAGGAAGCTTGTTTAGCAGAGGAAAGTAGGGATTTACTTAACTAGCTAGCCCTGTTTTCCTGAGTGGAGCTTCGAGCAGATCAGCGGCTGTGCCTGCACATGTTTTGAGCGACGGAGCCGCAGCAGAGGGGTTCAAGAGCCACGTGCGGCTCCGGAGCCGCGGGTTGCCAACCCCTGGCTTAAATAAACCATAAATACCCAATGTAGTTGCTCCCATCAAGCCCACAAATAACCTTAGTGTCTTCAAAGGCCTCAGCTGAGAGGGCTGGCTTGACATGGCAGTGGAAGGATGGCAGAGATGATGTCAGAGGGCCTTAATGGGGGGATAATTCCACAGCAGGGGGCCAGTACTGAGAAGACCCCTTTATTGCAGCCCTCCTAGTCTCTCTCAGAAGTGGCACTCAGAGGAAGGCCTCAGATGCGGATTGCAAAGCAAAACAAAACTAGTTAAGATTAGTAATGCTGCTTATGTGACTCCTAGTCAGTGCTCCTGCCCCAAGGAACTGGTTTTTGGGAACTGGGGCTGCTGAGTGATCCTGTCTGTGGTGAGGTGGTTGAAGACCTAGGATCAGCCATTCTCAGTTGTGGCCTTTGGAACGATTTTCATTGTTTTAGTGCCAGGTGAAGACTCTCCCACCGTCAGACTTCTGTGTCTTCCTTTCGGCCTTCAAGTTGAAAATTGTTCCAGCATTTTATGTTGCTCCATCACGTGTTCTTTTCCTTTTTTAATTTGTTTTGTTTTGCTGGATACATTAGCATGGGGGTTGTTTCCTTCTCATTGAACAATTGTACTGATTGCTGTTAAGTGCTCAGGTGCACTGAAAAAGCAGGATGAAACGTTTGAAAAATAAAATTTTAAAATGTGCACAACTCCAACAAGTCTCACTGGAATTCTAAAACATCTGAATTGGTGCAAAAATGCCGTTTTTGCTCTTCTGCCATTTGGCAAGTAACCATTTGCAATTTTGAAATCATCGAAATCATTATGCAAAACCTCTTTCCTTTTTCCTTTCCTTTCCTTTCTTTCCTTTCCCTTTGTTTTCTAAGCAGCATCAGCCTTTAACAGTACACAAAGCAATGTACAAGGAAATAATTGCAAGATCAAAGAGGCAAGAGTAAGGGTTGCCATGGAAATGTTCAAATTAATAAGCCAGCAGTAAATAATGCTAGAATCTATTTGCTAAACAGCTTGCCAGCTTCTAAGAATAATTTAGCAGCCAGCCAGATTATTTCAAGCTAGGGCAAAGGTCTGCAGCCCACTGCCCTCTGGATACTTCCAGATCCCATCAGCCCCAGCCTGCACGGCCAGTGGTCAGGAAAGCCAATTTGTGACCCACAAATTCTGGCAGCCTCTAGGTTGGAAATGGCTGCTGGGTTAGCCACATCTTTCCTGCTTCTCAGGCCTTGGGTGGCCAATTACACATGAGAGCCAGTGTGGTGTAGGGTTAAGAGCGTGGGACTGGGACTCAGACGATCTGGGTTCGAGTCCCCATTCAGCCATGGAACCAACTGGGTGACTTCAGGCCAGTCACATACTCTCAGCCCAACTTACTCACAGGGTTGTTGTTGTGGGGATAAGACTGAGAACAGCAGGAGGAAAATTATTTACGCCTCTGAGTGCCTTGAAAGGAAAACAATTCCTAGAATTGGAGTAGAGATATAAGACATCCAGCCAGGGTGGAAAAACAGGTGGTCTGTGATCAGTCCAGACAGCTGCCCAGGTGCTTCCTGCAGATGTTCGGCTCCAAGGACCCAGCTTAGACGGCTGTTTTAATAGAGGATGGAAGGACTGTCCTCTATAAAGTATGTGGCTCAGCCGTCCCGTTCCCCATGTTGATCATGCGTGCATGCATGCGACTCCCACCCGTTGCAGCAGGCCACCCCTTTGGTGGGTAGCTTCTCAGCTGACACTCACAATCCCCCTAAATTGATAAAAAATCCGTGACCTTCCCTGTTTGTTTGTTACAGAAGCTGCTCGGAACATCAAAATGACTCTGACCGTCAACTTGCTATGGTAGACTGGCCATTTAGATTTCAGCAAACCAGTAAGCTGTTTCATTTTCTTGCATTACACTCACTGCCTTGAGGGTTTTCAGCAAAGGTAATTATGGAAAATGAGCATGGCTTCTCACACTGTCTGAGAGACAGATTTCCCTCTATGTGTCCTAGACTGAGTTATGCTGTAAATTTTAACTAAATGGGAGATAAGGAGAGGGGAGATGGGCTGATGACTTGACCACTGGAGACTGGGAACTAAGCTGGCAATCCCATGCCCAAATACTGTATTTTTCTGTGTATAAGATGATACTTAAAAATATTTACCTAAAAATGGAGGGGCATCTTATACACGGGGGGCTGAGAGGAGAACCACAGGCGCGCTGGTGGGGGGAGGCTGGCGCAATTGCGGGTGCAATGGGGGGAGACTGGTGCGGGCGTGGGTGGTGGGGAGGCGGGGAGGCAGTGGGCGCGTGCGGAGCAGCAGCAGCCTGCTCGCTCGGAGATCGGTAAGCAAAGTGGGGCGAGGGTGTCCTATACATCGGGCTGTCTTATAGTCAGAAAAATACGGTAAGCAAGCAGCAACCTGACAGAACCGTATTCAGGAGTGAGTGACAGTAACAAATCATGTGGAGGGTAGATTGCTAATGGTCCATCCTGAAGGGAGTGCTTCCCCCATTTCCACAACAGGACAACCTATTAACAAATCTGGAACCATTTTAAAACCTAGTTAACAGCCATCATTACACCTTGTGGTAGCCGATTCCATAAGTAACACTGCTTGCATACAGAAGTCTTGAAGAGCGTCATAAAAGCCCTGCTGGATCAGACCACAGGTCCGTCCAGTCCAGCATTTCACACACACAGTGGCAATCCAACTGCCCGGATCCCTCCAGCAGGATGAGTGTGACCCCACGGCCTGCCCAGCTCCTCAGCAACTGGTGCATGCAGGCATCTCACCTCTGGTGGAGGAAGCAATAGCCAGCAGGGCTGGTAGCCCCCGAGAGCCCTCCTGTCCAAAACCTTTTGCTCACGGCATGAGTCCAAAAAGAGGTATCCCTCTCCAGTGTCTCCCTCTCCACCATGCAATCATCTATTCCTCCGTCATGTCTCCCCTCCACTCGCCTTATTTCTAAGCTAAACAGTCCCACTTCCTTTTACCTGTTCTGAATTTGCTGTCAGTGGATTTCACTGGGCATCTCCCAAGTTCTAGTTGATGAGACGGTGGGAAAGAACTGGATCTGCAAAGGTGAAAGCATCTACCATGCATGGACTCACTTAGGCACTCTTAACTGTAGTTTAGCTCATCGGTTTGTCATGCCATTTCTGTGTTGCAGGTTAGGAAAGATGAACTACTTGTTGCCATTAAGATACTGCAGTTAATCCCTGTGTACATTTTTACAACAATCTCCCCTCTGATGTATGTACACCCACCTGACCTTCCATATCTATTTTCAAAGAGGTCAAAGACAAAGTAATGCACTGTAATGAAATCTTTTCCTTGAGTCCTGAAATCTCACCATGAAAGTGGTTTTATGACTGTTATGACCAGCCTTTAAAATACTGTCGAGACAGAATCAAGCCAACTCTGTGTGTACAAAGCCTTCTGTGGTAGCAGATTTTGCTTTTTAAATATTTATAATTTTGTGCGATTGTTTCAACAAAACCAAACATCAGTAAAAAACTGCTAGGAATACAAAACAATAGTAGAACCACAAACACCTAAACAGAAAAAAGGCGGAAAGCAAAGCAAAGCAAACTAGAACACACACAAACTGTATAGATACCAGTAATGATTGAACATTGAACTGATCTTGAAATATTACTTAATGTATATATGTATACATACATGCTCATACACACACACAAAAATATTCTAAGTTCCTGTTCCACATCATTAATATACACTGAGGTAGGTTGACCAAATGCTGGAATGAGTGTTGCCGTTGGCAGCCTGAAACTGGACCAGAGGGCAGCCACTGCATCCCCCCTGGTACATTTAAGGGAATAGGCACCACCTGTAAGTGAGGATATGCCAACCTTCAAGAAGGGAAGTCGAGCCTAACTGGCAGTTATTTGGAGATTGAGAAAGATTTGTCTGTGCACATTCCTCTTCACCATCATATCCAGGATTTAGCAAATATAATCTACCTGGTCATGGAGATTATGGAAATGGCTAAATGACACTATTTAAGTAAGAAATGTTGGCAGCAGTTTGGGGCCTTTAAATGTAATGACACTATTATCCCTCTTTTCCAACGAGTCTTGAGTAGAACACACAGTTGTCCTCTTAATGACCAAATTTAGACTTGAATGTCCATGTTCAGGTTATTCAAAACAAGCATCCCAGTCTGAATTGGGAACCTGGTGTAGGGGGCAAGGGCTTTAACCCTTTGCATCCCAGTCCAGCCCCATGCAACTGCAGTTTCCATTGCCAAAAAAGGCACTATTAAGCAGCAATGCAAATGCAAATTTGACTATTCAAATCAAAACAGCGTTAGGCAAAAAAAATATTAACGTCCACTATATACCCCATCCACGTATCACATATGCTTGGGCACTGATTGGGTCACCTGGGCTTGCTTTTGAGCCAGAGGGAAAAGGCATAGGTGCTAGAACAGCCTCCAAGTTTGATCCTAGGAACATGCACACCTCAGATCCCAGGGGGGATTTTTCAGGCACAGAATCGGCTCCTGTGAATGGCAAGCACATTGGCTTGATACGGGTACAGTCTTCTGATTTTCTGCAAATGCCCTGGCGGAATTGTTAAAGCCATTCAAGTCCCATGGATAAGGGAAAAGGGGTTATCATGTTTCTTCCTACAAAACCCATATACCTTGAACAAAAAGCAGCTGTCTTATGCAGGTAAGAAACAAAAGACAGAACATTTCTGTAGCAAGCTTTAAAAAAATGACACCAAGATTAATTAATAGAAAAAGTACCCATTTATTCAAGGTATGACAAGTTTATTTACAGTATTTTTTTTTCTGGGACAAGAACCTTTTTGAGATTTTTAAAGAGGCAATCAAGAATTACATTTAAAATGGAAACAAATCTTTGTTACAGAAGATACTTTTTTGCTGCAAACAGGACACATGCAGCCAATCCTAGGTATGCTGACTTGGAAGTAAGCATCACTGAATTTAGTGTGTTTTACACCCAAGTAAATATACACAGGATAGCAGCCTTAAGGCTAAGGAGTGTTCCAACCTCTTCTATCATAACACCCATGCTGCAAAAAATTATCTTGCATTTGTCAAGTTGTATTACCTTGAACATTGCAGATGTTATGCTTTGCTCACTGCCTTTTTATCTCAGCTGCCAATTAGAAGTCAAAACTTTGAGAAAATGCATGACACTCTTCCAGCATAAACATACAGAATGCTTTGAACACAAAGCATATTAGTCAGAGAAGAATAAAGTTTTGTGTAACTTTCCATTTCATTAAGGGGCAGTGAGAGGTACTATCTACTCTTTCAAGTTGCCCAATAATTCCTGTGCACAAAAGTATTCTGCATACTTTTCTAATCAGCTTGGGCTGCAGGAAGACAAAAGACGAATTGTACTGGATGTCTGTATTTTGATCACTCGAAAAACCAGCACCTTTGCCCGTGTGTTCTGCTTCAAAAAGACAAACGCAACCCAAAGAATATGATTTTCACCAGACAAACAGCGAGATCCCTACCAAACGAGACCACTTAAGATGCAAATCGTCTTGGCTTTACTTTCTATAGGACTACAGTGCTACCACCTTCACTATTTAACAACAAAGGTCCCTCCCACATGTAGGTAATCCAGACAGAGCTATGAGAACGTTGCAGGGGTATGAGAAACCTCAGGATGCTTTTGCATGGTGCTTCTCCATGGCACTGTGCCCAAGAGTGACTGGAAGCGCTTTCCTCATCACGAGAAGAGAGAGAGAGAAAGGGAGGTCCTGCATTTATCCGCACATAGGCTCTCCCTAGCCGGGAAATGCGTTGCAGAATCGGGAACTTAGATGGGCCTCCCAGGTCATTCTGCTTGTGATGAGTGGCATGGGGGCTCCCGATCTCCTTCTAGGTAGATTCGCAAAGATACAGCATCATCTGAAGAGGCCCATTTCAGCTCTGGGAATGATATGTGCATTGCTCAAGCAAGATGCTTGGAACATGTAACATGAGTCAGTCGATAAAAGTTATGGAAATGTCTCACAAAAGCACTCCTGTGCAGTTCAAACTTCATGTGGGAATTGGCAAATGTACACCAGAAGTGCCCAGTGTTTACTTCACAGGCATGTCCACTCAACTCAATAGGATTTCCTCTTTTTTTTCTTTTCTTTTTTTACACTTTTAATTTTAGGATTGCAGCCAGAGCCCTGCATCCTTTTCTACATCTTCTGGGCAGCAAAGTGTGTCACAGTGAGGAAAAATAAGATTCACACATGGCTTCAGGACTGAAGATAACCAATTTTAATCCTTTTTGTAAAAGAAAAATTAGTTTTGTTCCTTAAGAGGCATTTTTTCTTTCCACAAGGAATGTGAAAACTTAGGCAAAAGGTAACTCTTGCAACCAGATGCAGTAATTCAAAAATTATTTTCAAAGCTTTTAAAACTGGCTCGCCTCCCCTAAAAAGGTGCCATTTATTAGATGTCTTCTATCAGGCATTCAGAGACACATGAGCAGCTTATACTAGTGTTCAGAAAACAGCTTGCTTAATAGAAAATGTTCATACAGTAGGTCCGATTATAAATGTTAATCTACCTGTTTTGTTGAGGGCTTACATGAGGTATTCAGAAACAAACAGGCTAGTCTTACATTAATATGCAGCTTGAGACGTTTCCCAGAAGTGGCATTTTCTTAAGTAAGAGTTCTGTCCTTGCTCAGGTCACTCATACGTCTTTGTCACATGAATGGAATGCTCAAGGTGGCTCTGAAACTCATCATTGGATAAAATCTGCACCCTCTCTAATCATTAGGATAATTAAGCCACATAGATAAAATGTGTGTTTAGATGTGGCACTTGATCATGACTACTAAAATACAATTTTCCAAGACTTCCCAGAACACAACTGACTTAATATTTTCATCTTGTTATTAGAAAAAAAGTTATTTACACAATAAATTAGCTTTGTAACATGCTGTCCTAGAATAAGGATAAGATACCTCAATTCAGTGCCCAAATCCTAATGCCTGCATGGCATCCTGGGCACGTTGCCAATGTACAAAACATGTTACATGCTGCACGGGCATTGTGGCAACTGCAAAAAGAGCAGCAACTTTCCAGGACTGGAGTGCCTTTTCAAAAGGTTGGCAAGATTTCCCAAACTGTTTGAGCACTTTGAAACAAAGCAAGTCATTTCAGGAGTTTAACATGATGCACGCATCCTGTTTCCAAGCATACATGTAACGTGAATCTAAAGCGCCAGCCAAAAAGAAGTGTAAAATTGGTTACTCCAATACAGATATCAAAACCAGGATTGTTTTAAGACTAGCTTATGGGAGAAGGAGAGATTGATGGGAGATGGTCCTTTTGCATATTCAAAGGTAAAGTCACATCTAATCAGAATTTACATTTGGCTTTGAACGTTTTCTTACGAAGTTTTAGTTCAGCCATATAATGACAAAAAGATCTCTACAGCAAATCAGCGTAGTGAAATCCTTTCCTACTGTGAACTGTTAAAGATGGAAATCCATCTTAAGCGCCATGGGCATCATATCTAAGGGTATTCCTTACTTTCAGCAGCAGGAGAAAAAAAAACCTGAAGAGTCACTTTCTTCCAAGACAGGGAAGGAAGCAGAAAATCTGGCAGGTGGGAAAAGAATGGTCATGCCCTACAAATTGACTTTACACTTTCAAAAGCAGGAGGTAAAAGTTACAGGCACTGTTATGTCCATGGGGGATTTGCTGCATTTAACTCATACTCCAAAAGCTTTAAGTCTTAATACCTTGAATTTTCCCATGACCTTTTCTTCAATTTAGTTCACAGGATTCCTGGTGCTGCAAGTCTTGGGTGCACACTTGCTCCATTTTTCTTTGCTGTATTTTGCAGATGTATTTTGTAAATTTACTACATTGTAAATTAAAACTTACGCCAAAACCATTACAAACTTTGCCTTTGTATACAACAGAATCTTTGTGCTGATCTTTTCTTCAAGACCTTATAAATAACAAGTTTAGAACCAGTCTTCACCACACTTGCCATTATACCATGTTGTTGCTTTCTCCGGCTTTATCTACAAGCTAAAGAGAGAGGGAGAAAAAGGATAGTTGTTTTAAGACCCAAACACATTGCATGATATTTCCAACAACGTGTATGCAGTGCTGCACTTTTGAGTGGGTGGCTGAATGTAGTCATACTCAAAATAGTACTCACCAAGGTCTTATGTAGTCTATACAAAAGTAACACGCTTTGCATTACAACTGTGTTTAGGCATGGCATGTTTTTATGTTTACAAAGAGCAACATGAAGATGCAATAGAATGTAAACAAACAAACAAAAGAATACAAGTGTACTGAAAATGATCCAAATGAAAAATAATAGTTTAAAATATATATACATATCAGCCATTCATGCATTAACAGACTGAAGAGGATAGTTTCAACTAACCATTACTGGGACTGTCTCCTGAGCCTAGGCAGGCTTTGAAGAAAACATCAACAATTAACTTTTCAAACAGGATTTAACTCCATAAATCTATGAATAATATTGGTACAGATCAATGTTAAGCAAGATGTCAAGCCAGTTTATACAGGGACTTAGACAGCGATGCTTAAAATAGATTTAACATGGGAAGAAAATCCATCTATGTTAACTAGGCTTTTGGATCAATTTTACATATTGCTGCATTGGCTAATAAGTATTTAGGGTATGGTGCGCTCCTATCCCAAGCTAGATGCAGAAAGCTGTGGCATGGTACGCAATCAGGCAGAGAAGAGGCATCACATCTGGGATAGAATTGATTGTGTCCTACCCAAAAGGCAATGTGGCCACAACATTCAGACATCTCAGTGCAATCTCATCCACCTCATATTTAGCACTGTCCATTATAACATGACTGAGCTGCCTATGTCCCAGCTCCAGCTGCTATGGATGTGATACTACATGCATTAATGCATGCATAATGGATGGAAAAAAACAACTATCATGGGCACAAACACATACTAGCATCCACAAAGAGGAAACCATTTTTCTTAACATGCATAGGCCATTGAGATGTGTATGCTCTATGTAACATGGGCGAATTGCAGCCTGCAGAGGCCTCAGTGTAACCCACGGGGTGCCCAGGCTGATCCCCTGGTAAACCGACCTGCCCTTCTCTGTAAATCATGTCCCTGGCAGCCCACCAGATAGCTGTGACACCAAATAGCCAAGGGGTTGCCACACAGGAAGGAAGGACTAAACTGTCCCTTTCTCCAGGCAAATTCTCACTGTTGATATGCGGAAGTGCGTTTTTATTATAGTAATTTCTATCCCACCTTTGTTCCTCTTGCGAGGAACACAAGCCAGTTTACAAGGTACTCGTCTCTATCTCATCCTCACAACAACTACCCTGTGAGGTAAGTTAGGATGAGAGGCAGTGATTGGCCCAAAGTCACCCTCTGCACTTTGTGACCAAGCAGTGACTAGAGATTCCTCAGGATCTGTACACACTGCAGAGAATTCTGGAGCACTCTAGGTGCTCTCTGCCCTCCTGTGTGAACAGCCCAGCCCAGAACACAACAAAAACGCCTCTGGGGAGGCACCCCTTACAGGGAATTCAGTAATAGTGGACATGTTGCCCCAGAGAGCGTTTGCTGTTATTAATAAAGTTCTGAAGAGGATCCCTGAAGACACAGCAGACGAGCTGCTGACCTAACTGCTTAGTCGAATTCATGGCAAATAGCACTTTTAAAAATGACACAGATCTTGTACTGACAGAAGTGACTCAAATATAGACTATGGATGCTTTATACATGGTATGATGGTCTAGGGACACCAGCATTTTCATGTTTAGAAACAAAGGAGACCAAGAAGTGCCAGAACTGAAGCTCCATCTTCTGGAGCAGCTGTGAGATTAACAAAAAGATATTTTGACAACTTTACAAGGACTGGTCCAATTCAGAGTCAGCCCCTGAACTTTTTTAAATAACACAGTTGAAGAAACTAAGAAACCAGTGTGTCCCAATGAACCATATAATCCACTAATTCATAAACTATTACAGAATCTTTTAGGTAGGTCTGTCAAAAGTACTTAGGGAAGGCAATCTTCTCCTATCTGGTCCATGGAATGATAGGCCCCAAGAAAAGGCAAAACTCTATTAGAGGCTCCTTCTCTTAAATATTTAAGGAATCATGTCACATGATGACAAAGTTACCAGTTTCTTCTGTTTGCTTATGCTAGATAATTTAGAAGTTTCCTCTTATTTTTAGGTGCGTAACAACGTCACCACAGTACATAAATGCAAGCTGGTAACCCATATTGTGAATGCATGTATTTGTACAAAACAGTATATGCCTTTTGTTGGTCCAGATTCTTTTAATGGTTGTGCAACTTTTAATATTCACCAGAACCTCGTCTCTAGGGTAGAAATTGGAACACCTGCAAATTTCATCCTTGCAAAATTCAAGGAGTTCTAACAGAAAACATGGCTTTACCTCTGTTGAGATTCTCTGCCTACAGTTTACAATTAGAGTGGATCTGCAAACAGAACTAAACATTTAGACACATAAAGACATTTATCCCTAGGTCCTGTAATTCAAGAAACAGAGGCATGCAAGATCAAACCTTCAGAGTTTATGTGAAATATTTTAACACTTACTGAACTTATACCAGGTAAATTCAAGAGATATCCAAGAACAGGAACTCTTCTAATAAAACCAACCACCACAGGGAAAAAGCCCCTTTAAAGAAAGGAAATTCCACAAGTTAGTAGCGTTCATTACATTGGGCTTCTTTATATATGACTAGGATGTGACAGCCTTACCACTGAAGTACTCATATTTTGTACCAACAAATTTAGAACAACTCATTTGACATCTGCCTCTTCTCCCAATCCCTCTGCTTCCCAAATTTTCAGAATGGTAAATTAACTTTCTCTAAATCCTTGCACACTCCATGCCAATTCAAATATTAGAACTTTCCTATATGAAAACTGTGAAAATAGAGAAAGCATGAAAGCCGCTTGTGTATACAAAACACATCTAATTTTGCAGAATATCTAAGAAGCAGTGTCAGGCTGTAACTTCTCAGATGGCACACAGGGTCAACATGCAATCTTCACATTCTTTTTTCTAAATGGAAAACATGTTCTGTATAGGAATCTGAAACAGATGGGATGCTAAAGAGACAAATCGCTGTTGGCTGCAGTAAACAAACTATAATTCCAAATGTGCGACTGAAGTCCTCACAAAATGTGAATGTTGCAGATTTCCAGTTCTGAAATTGATTTCATTATTGAAAGATGCATGGTGGTGACTTGCTAATAAGCCTGGCACTCCCTTTACCGCAAGATAAACAGAGGCTCTCTCATCTTTAAAGATGTCACATAAGCCAAGGGAAAAGGGACTGAATGGAACCGTAATATCAATGACTCAACTTATATTGGTGCTTGAAGCAGAAAATCTGAATGGTGACCTGCTCTTATGGATTAACATAGGGGCTATGAGGATGTTTCTTTCCAGCTTGTCTTGCATACAAATGTACTGTGGCTTGGAATGTATGAACCAGGTCCATGGTTAAGGAAACTTAACTATGATTTGGTATGATGTCCCAAGTTACCAAATACAGTTTGATTATTTGCACATGGTTACAAAACACTGAGCAAATTAAAAAGTATGAAAGCAGACGGGCAGCTATAAAATCATGGTTCAAATATTTGGCAACTTGGGGATGGAGTAGATTTCTCCTCAATATGTACTTTGGGGGACCCTTTTTCCATGGAGGGCTGTGTTCTTGTATGAGTTTCTGCTGTGGGCTGCATACACTTAGCTGGCCTTTCTCTTTTTCTGCTACCTCCTTCTTTCTTCCCTGCCCACCCTCCCTGTCAGGGAGGAGATGGGTTGCTCCTGCCAGAAGTATGAACTGATCACATACAGAGGGCTCCAACCCCATCTCTCTCATCTACAATCAGGTTGGAGAGCGCATAAAACTTTATAAGTATCATCACCTTTGGCATATAAATATACTTTTTTTCCTAAAAAGATGAGATTCCAAGTACTGCTCCCACTGGAAGGGGAAAAATCTCTGGAGCAAGCAGGCCATGTTCAAGCACCTTTTGTGGCGGTCAATCAAAAGCACTTCACATTAGAAACGAGTATGACTCCTCCCAACAAAAGCAAAGACCAGTGAAGAAGCCTTACCTGAATAAGAGGAAGAAGCCATAAATTTCAAAGACCATTCCTATGAGAGGCCAACCAATAAGGACAATAAGTACACCACCCAGAAAGAAGCCTGTGGCTTTCATTTTGTGTTTCTGGAAGAAGAATCTGAATGTCCTTTCTAAACCAATCACAAAAGCCAGGCCAGCCACAAATAAAACCTGAAAGAGCCCAAAAAGATAATCCCTTAATAAAGAAGTACTTGAATACAGGTCCAGAAATATTAAGTATTTATAGAGAATACATAAAATCAAACTCCTTTGTCTTGTTGTGTTCAAGACAATAATAAGCTATTGGAAGAAACATGAGTTTGTCAAATAGCTTTCACAATTTTAATACAAAAGAAGACTTTGTTGGAGCAAATCAATTAATTTAGAAGTGATTAGAAAAAAAAGAAAGCTATCAGCATAACCTTTTAGGAACAGCTAGTGCTAATGTTCTTTTTATTGGAGAAGTTTATGATTTAATAGACCAAAGAACCAAACTGATGCCTTGGGAACTTCAGTAAGTTCAGCCCACTCCAAAACATCAGTGCCATCAGCTTTCTAGATGATAAGATGGATAATAAGTCAGGATTCAATGTGAGTATTACAAGAGCTTGTTGCTAGTTGCAAAGTCGCATCCGTCCCTTTGCAACCCCATGGACAACACTCCTCCAGGCATTACAAGAGCAGTAACAGCATAATATATATCTGATTGGGAAGAGGATTCTTCTAGCACTTTGTAAGGTCAATGTTATGTTGTCTCCCATACTGGTGTGTATATATATATATATCTATATATAGATATAGATATCAAAGACTCATACACGTTCTATCTCATTCCTTGAACAACAGAACGTTGCTTAGAGATACTGGTCCTCACATAAAGGCATCATCTGACTAAGATTAAGCACATTAAAATCCCACTTATTTCAGTGGGAAAATTAGAGTACATGCATGCATTTCTTAAGAAACACAAATCAAAGATGACTTAAAAATGCTTATTACTCTTTGAGTTATAACAAAATTTTCAGACAACTGTAGGCCAAAGTGAACTTTTTCTTTAACTATAAAAAGGTCACAACAATGGTTCAGTACCATTAAATTTGTGTGCAACACTGCTTTATTATAATGTTTAGATTCCACATGCAACTGCATTTCCTACTTATATGGTAGAGAAACACCATCTATGGATCAGCTCCATTAAAACACAAATCCTTTCTGAAGCTGCAGTTCTTGGGCAAAGGTGAAAATAGCCCTTTCTGCCTATTAGCAGGTGGGACAAGAAAGCATTCTGACAGAAACTGCCTTTTCTTCTCAATGGTTACTGATAGTAGAAAATGTACAGGAGTTGCTCAATTTTAGAAAACACTCAGTAAAAACATTCAGTTTTTGTTCATGTGTGAAGATGCTTGAATCTACATTATTGACTGTTCCATTCTACCATACTATCAAGTAAAGGTGTTTCAAGTATTGTGCCTTTCATTGTTATCCAAACTAGACCTTATTTATAATGTACCCTCAAGGTACATGGGTGATTCCCAGTGCAAGCAAAAGGTAGGTCTCTAGCCCAAGAAGCTTACAACCTACGTTTAAATCTGGCTGGGAAAGGAAGATTTGAATGTGAACAAATGCAGGGTCAGACTTTGCTTGGCAGAGCAAAAGAACTAGCAGGCTGAATCTATGCGTGCTTACCCTCCAGTCAGTTCCATGGGGCTTGGTCCCTGGTCAGTGTGTGCAAGAGAGCAGCCTAGAGAGAAGTATTAGTTTCCAGATGGGGTCTGAAGGAAGAGGGGTGGCACCATGTAAATGAGGGGGGATTCTAAGGAGCCACAAGGCAGAATGGGTACAATAGCTGGGGAAAGCAGGAGACCTCTGGGAAACTCAGGGCAGAATCCAACATGGCACTTACACCCTCATCCCACCACACTGTGGGCCCTGCCAGTTACACTACAGAGTAGGACCCAATGGTTACACAAGGGAGATTTAGATCTTCCAAGGGGAAATCCCCATATTAGCAGAAATTCTCATATTTGGAAGAAGGCAGCTTGGCAAACTTACCTTATTATAAGCGCCACTGACCTGCCTCCAAGCATTTCCTCTCATTTCGTTCCCCAGAGGCACTAAATTGTCACTGCATAAGAGTGGAGTTTTTTGCCTGTTTCTTCAACACTACAGTATATAGAGGGGGAAGACTGTTCAGTTTATACTTCAAGTACTTACTCATATAAAATTACTTACATTTCCAATAGCCAGAAGTGCTTTGTCAAAAAACAGAATCATTCCAAAGAAAAGGAAAAACACTCCAAAACCCGTAAGCCCCATTCCAATTTCTGCAATACAAGAAAGGGGGAAGGGGGTTGTTAGTAACAATGTTGTTTCAGCAACCACATATGCAAATCTTACTATATTTATTAAGTTGCACTCAAAACATTCTCTGACGTGTATTTTTTGAAACCAGCAGTCCCAACATAACATGAACCCTCTTCCAGGCAGAAGGATGCTATGATGCAGTCTACTGCTGCATCATTGAACTTCTTTGTTGGATCAAACTAGCAATCTTATCTCCAGGAATAGGCAGTTGTTGAACACACCGCCTATTCAAGTAAGGGTGTTTCAAGTATTATGCATTCAATATCCAAACTAGATCTTATTTATCATGTACTGTAATGGGCTATTGATTCAGTGGTATAGTTTCCCACTCTAGCTCTACTACTTCTTTGCTCCCCCCCCCCCCGCCACACACACCTTTTCTCCCTTACTTCTACCTCAAACACAGAACACTGCTAATTCAATGTATTTTTAGTGTATTCAGATTTCTTTCAACAGAGTGACCAGGATGTAGTAGTCTTTACGCAGTTCAGGTCAAGAAAGCGTCCATTGGATTATCTTTCAAAATACAATGTAGAGAGTTATGGAAGACAATGCATGAGGTCTCATTTCCTCCCCCTCGCTCTACTGCTAATCATTTAACTAAGCATTCCAAAATGTACAATACGATAAAACATGCCTTGAAAAATGAGCAAAAAATCTGCTAGTCACGGGTCTGTCTTATTTAGACTTTCTCTGTTCCTTGTCCATGATTTAGATACCTAACAATTTCTCCAAAGTCTACCTGTTTGACTTCCACACAGAATAACCTGATGCATGGCTAACTTGATCATTAACTTGAGAAGCTCTCCCTCCCCCAGAAACAAAGAATAGTGGCACCATTTTGGTCATGGCAAACACATATAAGGAAGCATTTTTGAAAGTTGCAATATCATGTACCTATGTACTTGTCCATGGCAAATACTAAATAAGCTGAAACATCAGTTACACTAGAATGCTAAAGCTCTGTCTAAAAGAAATGGAGCTTCATTCTGAGAGTATTTTTGCAAGTGTCATTCAGTCTCAATGTCGCAGAGTACAGATTCTAAACTTGCTGGAGCCACTATCTTATTCAAACCATCATACAGTGGCATTGTCAAGAACAGCTAGTTATTATTAATGGACTGCTTTATGTTCAGAAAAAAAAAGGAGCTGGGTGGTATCTTCACTCTTGAAACAGTTATCTAGCTGTCTTAACTGAAGGTGTGGACCAGCACAATGGAAAGTATTCTGATTTTTCTAATCAGAAATCTGAAGAGGGAAAAAGTCATCTTTCATTTGCAAGGAAGGCAACTTTTCATACTGCATAAACAAGCTTTCTATTTAAGCACTTGCCTAGAAACCATGGGTGACAAGCAGCTGCATACAGGTGAATGTACGGAAGCCCACACAGACTGGGCTGCCCAGCAGAGGAGGGATGGAGCAGCAACCAGCACAGACACTAAGCTGGTTTCTAGAAGAGCAAAGACCCATCCCATGCCCAGCATAGAGGCAGCTTGATATTTCTCCTCTGCCAAACCCAAACAGGCTGGTAAATTTTGTGCAAGACAGTGACTTTTGTGGGGTTACTTACAAAGCTAGTGTACTCTGTGCATCAGTCCCATTATTTCAACACAATTTATCACTATTTAAAATGTTTATATCCAGAATATTTTCAAACAAAATCTATTATGGCTGCAATTCTTTGGTCTAAATGCCCATAGGACAATTCAGAGTCCTAGCTCCAACCCTAGAGGCTTGCTTTGATGTCCGAGCTGGGACTCCTAACTTGGGTCATCCCCCTCCCCACGTCTTTGCACCCACTGTGGAAATAACTGCCTGCTGTGACTCCAATGCTGCAAGAAAAAGGGGCAGTGGGGGGGCAGGGTCCATCAGCATATGCAAAATTCTGGAAGACTCTCAGTATCCTTTCTTCATGCTCTGCAGGAAACTATACTCCCACTCTCCTCTCATCCTGCATAGGATGCCTGTATTCCTGAGTTTGGAGGGTTACGGGCAGGTTCACTGGACTGCACTAGATTAGTGTTCTGTGTTGCTGAAGTCCAGCAATTCACCTCTGAAAAGCAACCATCCCATGGTGAACAGGCAGAAACTAGAGTGACTTGGCCCATGACTCTGGTAAAGAGACAGGCAACTTCTGAAAATTGAATGAAGCTACAGAATGCTTTTGCAGAAAAAGCAACTGAGCTCAGATCAACCTGTGCTTAACCTTTCTCGTTGAAAGAGCTTTGCTTCAAATTATACAAAAGCAAGCAATTTGAAGAGATGCAAGCATTGGGCATTTATTGAAACCTGTAAATCCAAGGCTACATTAAAGCATTCAAGTTCAGAATGTACTAAAAGGGAAGACTAAAGGCTAATGATGCTGTTTCTGTGCTGGTATAAACCCTGATTTTCCAATGTCTAGTTCCTGCACGTAGCCTTTCTTTTCTGTAGAAAGGGCTGTGCTGCAGATACAACAACAAACTATTTGAAGAGATGTCTGGTTTGAATATTTATTCAAACCTGCATAATTATACCAAAGTTTATCTGTTTTAGCCTTTTACTGTTCACCACTCTGCAATCTGCTTTAGACACAGAACAGTATGCAAATGATATGAATAAAAATGAATTAGTTGGTTCATGTCTTTCTTCTAAGAAGAATAATTTAATAAATATTAGTGTGAGTTTCACTTTTATAAACTTGGTCTTGTAGGTCTATTCCAACTGCGTCATTGCATCACAATTCTCACTTTCACTTTATTTGGGCAAGTCTCCTAGGCATTTTCTTGGTTCAACTATGAGTAAGAATGGAATACTTTTATTTTAGAACAAAAAAACCTAATACAGTATTGCTTTGTTCAACTGACAGTATATGACTGATCATGCACTGTAGGGGAAAGGTGGCATCTCTGAAATTAATCAACATGAATCTTATGATGGTCTATTTAGAAACACACTGCAGTGAGTTCAAGAAGATTTACTTCCAGGTTGGTGTGTACAGAATTTGAAACAATACCATTCTCCTAATGATATTGTTTGGGAATGCCTCAGGCTAAGTTCCAAAGTACAGTGAGTAGGCAAGGATTTTGGAAATAGATTTGGACTTAGACACATAAAGACAAGAATATGAATATCATAAAGACATAGCCCATATTTTTGAATTTAAAAAGTTGAAATAAGACAAAGTAAATTGTTTTAAAGGACTTCACATCTTGCTGTTAAGGTACTGCCTGAGGGCTGACCTGAGATCAAGGCCATTGCTGTGCTCTGGGCAAGTAACTGACACCAACTCTGCACATACAACCCAGTTCTTGAAACTCATTGCTGAAAAACTGCAACTACAATACACAATTTCTATTGCCACAGTGCACTTGTATATTTTGGCCTAAAACACATATCACCTGTAGCCAGCATAGCCAAAGTGACTTCCCGCCTAGACTTCTGTAACGCGCTTTACGTGGGGCTTCCCCTGAAGACAGTCCGAACACTTCAATTGGTGCAAAATAGAGCTGCCAGGTTGCTGACGGGGACGGGGCGTTATGCTCACATGACTCCAGTCCTCCATCAGCTTCACTGGCTTCCCATTGAAGCCCGGGCCCAATTCAAGGTGTTGATTATGACCTACAAAGCCCTAAACGGCTTGGGTCCTGGCTACCTGCACGAGCGCTTACGTCCGTATATGCCCGACCGCCCTTTGAGATCTGCGGGAGAGTCCCTTCTCCGAGAACCCTCCATGAAAGAAATTAGGAGAGTAAGTACCCGGAGGAGGGCTTTCTCTGCGGTGGCGCCCAACCTATGGAATTCACTCCCCAAAGAGGTCCGCCTGGCACCGTCGTTACTGGTTTTTCGGCGCCAGGTAAAGACCTTTTTATTTAAACATCATTTCAATTGTTAAAACATATGATCTGGCCTGGGCAACTTCTTCTTCCTTCTCTTTCTCCTCCTATATTTTTATTTTATACTGATAATTTTAATTTTGTATTTGTAAATCAATGTATTTTTTGTATTGTTATATTTAATGGTAATTTATTATGTACTATTGTATTTCAATGTATTTTATCATGTTGTAAGCCGCCCCGAGGTTTCGGCAAGGGGCGGCATAGAAATGTTATAATAATAATAAAAAAAAAAAGTGAGAAATTGGACATGTATGCCAAAACATCTGCAGGGCCACAAATTGCCCACCCCTTATCTAAATGAATGTGGCGTTTGCCCAGAGTCTCTTTCCTCCATCCCATTCCCACATTGTTTTTCCTCAGTCTCTTATTTTAAACAGTGCAATCTCCTCCTGGGCTAAACCTTGTCTTTTAAGTTTAAGAACACTATTAAACTCTTGGAGGCAGCATACAACTGTATACAAGCAGTCCCCAGATTATGAATGCCTAAATTATGAACACCCGAGTTACGAAAAAACCATACTTATGAACAAACGGCCATAAAGCCTATTAATTTAAAACAATTACTGTGGAAAATATCATCATCATAGAGAAAGAAAAAGCAAAGGGGGAAAGAAGGAGGGCCTCCAAAGCTTCACCATGGAGAGGATACAAAGTGCGAATGAGGGTGGCCTCAAAAGCCTTCCTGCCCCAACCATTCAGAGAGGGAAATATCTCCGGCATTTCCTTGCTGCAAAGAGGAGGCACTAGTAGTTAAGGGGGGAGATATATTTGTGTTTTTTCCTGTACCCTTAACCCTCATGTATGTGGAAGGCTGACTATCTGTGACCTGACTTATATACAAATTTGGCTTAAAGATGAATTTATGTTTTCTTAGGAACAGAACTTGTTCATAACACAGGGACTGCCAGTGCGTGTGATATAATATTGTTTGACACTGCGCATTATGATACATGAACAATCTCATATTTAAACTCTTACCTGGTAAGAAAGAACACGTAAGATTATAAGAGCTATGCTGAATCAGACAAAGGGTCCACATAGTCCAGCATTCTGTTCACACAGTGGTCAATCAGCTGCCCACAGGAAATCCACAAGTAAGACACAAGTGCAACAACTTCCTCCCATCCATTTCCCCTAGCAACTCATGAGGAGGCTGACAGAAACGAGATGCCATCTCCTCCACATCAAGCACAGAAATACAGCTAACTAAATAAAGGATAAAGATCTTTATCCCCTCTGTCAGCCCCCAGCAGGCTGGTACAAAAATACACAGGGTTGTAAGTTGTTGTTTTATTTACAATGCTGCATTAACAAAAACAAGGAAAAATAGCTCAGTATTTGCTCCTTTTGTTGTGCCTTCTTCCATTTTCTTTCATCAGTTTGAACTGATGGTTTTCCTGCTAGTTCCATCCTGATGTCCCCTTAGAAATTAGACATTTGGGAATTGTGATATGCTATGGTCCCAGAATGGAAATATGAAATATGATTTTCTGAAGTGTTCATATTAACATATTAGCATAATTAATAACTAAAATGGCCTTCAAAACCTATTTTGGGCTTGTGAAATTGCACACACAAGGGGCAATTATTAATAAAAATACAATACTAATCACTACTACTTTTAAGAAAATAAGAAGCTGCCTTATACCAAACCAGACCATGTATCTACTTTAGCTTGGGCACTGTCAGCACTGACTGGTAACAGCAGCTCTCCAAGGTTTCAGACACCTTTTTCTAGCTCTACCTGGAATCAAACCTGGCACCTGGCACCTTCTGCATGCAAAGGCAGTCATCCTGGTTAATGGGTGGGGTAGAAATTTAGTAAAGAAAAAAGTGTTTTTACCACCGAGTCACAGCCCCTTTTTATGGGCTGCTCCATTCCACAGATCCAAAACATGCTCATAATAACGAGAGCATGGTCATTACCCATTACTACAACTCGCTACTGTTACTAATACACACATTTTCATATGACATAGATACATGCATATCACACACACACACGATATATTTGAGGAGGGATTGGGCAGCAGGGAACTACTGCACGCATACCTTGCTGGTGGGATCCTGTGGGGAGCTGGTTGGCCACTGTGCTGGGCTAGGGGCACCCTGGCTCTGATCCAGCAGGGCTCTTCTTATATATGACACATCCATGACACAAATCCATACATATCACAGGTATATTACACCAATATTGAATACTACATACACAGACATGATATATACATATGCAAATGAGTTAGCCACCACTGTTGCTTTGCATATGTCTGGGTAGCCACACAATAAGCAACACCACCAGCTGACCCATCCGCCCAAGCCAGCTCCCCAAAACAGGAGCCTCCCTCCCCGCCCTCGGAAACCCGCGCCCCTCCCCCTCACGCCCCCTCTCCGAATTCACCCACTCTGCGTGTCCGTGAGGGAAATCATGGTGACGGCGAGGACAGCGCCGAGCGCGCGGCTCGAACTCTCTGACGGGGGAGCCGGAGGAGGAAGGCAGGCGCCGCCTCGGGAGCACCAGCATCAGCAGCCGCCACGTCTTCCGGAAACACGCAGCCCCCTCACGCCGCGGCTCGGCTGCCGAGGCTGCTGGCTCTGCTGCCGAGCTGCTAACGCCGCCGCCGCCGCCACTGGCCAACGCCGCGTCCCATTGGGCAGAACGCGCCGAGCCAATCAGCGGCCTTCTTATTGCTCAGCCACGCTCGCGCGCGAGAGGCCTTGCCGGCACGGGGAGGAACCTCTCTCGCTTGGGCTGAGGTGGCCGGAGGAGGGGGGAGGAGCGCCGCCACGGCCGCGGCCAATCCGGGCGGAGCGCGGCGAGCTGCTGATTGGCTGAGCGGGACAGGAAGCGGAAGGGGTGGGCGAAGGATGCCCCCTGGTGGCCCGGAGGACGGGGAAGAGGCTGCTGCTGGCTTGCACATGGGGCGGGGCGGAGGGGGTCGGAGAACTGTTGCCGCTAGCATCGTTTCCCTTTCTTGGGAATTTATTTATTTATTATATTTATATCCCGTTTTTTTAAAGGACTCAGAGCGGCTTACATCATTCTCCTTATCCTCAGAAGAACAACCCTGTGAGGTAGGTTGGGCCGAGAGCCTGTGGCTGGCCCACCCAGTTGAGCGGGGAATAGAACCCAGATATCTTGAGCCCCAGTCTGTGCTCTTAACCGCTGCACCAATTCCTTCGTGGGAGCTGGCAGAGTGTTATATTGATGATGATAATAATAATGCATTTATTAGATGTATCTAATAAGTGGAAGGCTTTCTCTTTCCTGAAGAAACTATGCATATAAACTGGTATTTTGGAGAGGGGAGACATTTCCCTTGTAGAAAGCAGTTATTCTACAGCATTTGTATCTGGCGTATGTACTCCAGTCTTAGCAGGTTTTTTTAGCAGAACTTCTGGTTCTTCACCATTGGGCAGAGTTTTCAGCGGGAGGAGAGATAGAGGCAAGAAAATTGCAAATACATATATATTAACATAAATGTTAAAATATATGAAGTTGGGCTAAATGCTTCCTTTCATCACAGTGATCTGAAATAGTTATGCATTCTGCTCAGGAGTGCAAAGGGCATTGGTTTGGGAGGGGGTTGTTTTTTTTATTTTTTGTCTGGGTTCTTATACATGCTTTTACATCTGCCCAAATTCAGCGGACAGAGATGTAGTGATGAACAGCACTGTCTCTTGCATTTCTGCCAATAAATCCTAGTTTCAGATTGCAAACCTGCTGTCTGAGCTGTTCTACCACAGACTGGCAGGGGGTGGGGGAGGGCAGGCACCTGGGAGAAGTTTATGCACATGATTTCTGCTATCTAGAAAGCTAGATAAAACAGAGATTCTGGCCTAGCTTCCTGGAGTGCTAATACCTCCAGGCAACAATGTTTTGATCTGAATGTTCGGAGGAGCATTGTTCATTTGGTTTGAATATGGTAAAAATTCAGTATTGAAAACTAGCTAATACAGTTAGGCAAAGAGTGATACGCTCTGATGGAAGAGTTACTTTAGAAATCACCTGCACTAACATGCTGGAAAGACTGAGCAACTAGGGCAACAATCCTATGCTTAACTGTTCAGTGTGGTTTCTCAGTATTTCTGTGAAGGCATTCCATAATACTATAGCTAAATAACCCTTTGGGTAGTCTGCCTTCAAAAGCCTGGAGAACTTGGAGGAGGATCTCTGAAGGTAGGTTTGTGTGTGAGGCCATATCTGCAGTCTGAAGCTGAATTTTGAGAAATGTTCTAAAGAACTGATTCTTAAGTGGAATGTGGGACTTTATATGTCCTTGGAGTTTTATTTCTGCTACTCTGTTCTCAGTTATGGAACACTTTGCCATCACAGATTTGTCAGGCTTCTACTTTATTTAGTTTCTTTTTCAATGCATCTATGGCACTTCTTAAACTATATATATGACAACATTGGTTTTAATCTTAATTTATTATTTTTAACATTTTAAGCATTTGTGTATATAGATATATACTCGTGTTTTATTTTGTCTACTTACTACAATATTTTAATCGTATTATTTTATTAATGTTATTGATATTTCATTGTGATGTCTACCCAGAGAGCATTATGCTAATAGGCAGGTTTATACAAATTTATTAAATAAATACAGCTGGATAGTTTCCAGTCTTTAAAAAAAATCACAGGGCATGTTTAGGTTTGTATAATACACTGTAAACAACATAACATTTGACATCTTCTCATTTTCACAGTTTTGATGGCTGAAGAGAGTTTCTTATCCTGTCCCCAAACTAATGGTTTATGAAGTATTTCATCTTTATGGTTGCATCTTAAGAGAAAGCAAGTAAGTGGAGATGGGTTATACTTTGGCATCTGTTAGGTGGAGTACTGTGAGAAATTTTGGATCATTTGCTCAGTCCGTAACAATACAACCCCATAGATGAGTTACTTTTGCAAATATGACAGGTGCCAACAAAAGTGCGTATAGTCAAGGCTGTGGTTTTCCCAGTTGCAATGTATGGCTGTGAAAGCTGGACCACAAGGAGGGCTGAGCGCCGAAGGATTGAGGCCTTTGAATTGTGGTGTGGGAGGAGACTCCTGCGAGTCCCTTGGACCGCAAGGTGATCAAACCGGTCAGTCCTAGAAGAGATCAACCCTGACTGCTCTTTAGAAGGCCAGATGCTGAAGATGAAACTCAAATACTTTGACCACCTAATGAGAAGGAAGGACTCCCTGGAGAAGAGCCTAATGCTGGGAACAATACATGGCAAAAGGAGAAGGGGACGGCAGAAGATGAGGTGGCTGGATGGAGTCACTGAAGCAGTTGGTGTGAGCTTAAGTGGACTCCGGGGGATGGTGGAGGACAGGAAGGCCTGGAGGAATGTTGTTCATGGGGTCGCGATGGGTGGGACATGACTTTGTGACTAACAACAACAAAGTCTTTTTAAATCAATTTTTTTTATTATTATTTAGGACATTGGACATGCTGGGTCGACATCTCTTTTTTACATTCAACAACCATATTCAATTCTACGCGTAGTCCCGTTTCTCAAACCAATGATAAAAAGTGTTCCAAGATTGATAGAAGTATGTATCTTCCTTCTCCTTCAAAGACAAGGTCAATCTGTCCATCTCTGCACAGTCCAAAATCTTTTTTAAAATCAACTCTTCAGTAGGTGGCTCGTCAGTAGGTGTTTCTCCAGTGTTGGGCAAATGCAATCCTTGCCGCAGTAATTCTGTGTAAAGTCAAATGTATAGCTTGTTTATCGAGGTCATCATGGATAATACCTAATGGAAAAACTTCAGGTTTAAATGTTAATGTTTTTGCAGCATTTTCTCAAGCCATTTGTGCATTTTAACCCAACATTTTTTTGCCTTAACACAAGATTTTTTGTGACTAGTCCTATCCGCAAGGTCACTCTAACATTTCATTAAGTATTTCTGATTGGAGAGCTATAGTAACCCTTTCCCCAAAGATTCCCTACCCGTGCAAATTGTTTGCTCATACCTCCTTTCAGGCCAGTCAAAGAGATCTTGTAACTCCTGCCATTTTGGTATTATACCTTGCACCATGTTGTGACACAGCAATCCTGTATTTCAGGCTTTTCAATTTAAATTTATAGGCCCTTTCCCCCATTCCTTGCATGATTAAAATTACCTTTGTGTATACTTGAGGCTACAGTGTGCTGTTCATTTTTTCTTAGAGTTGATCTAATTTTACTTATCTAATATGACAGGGAGTTAAGGGTCTAGATATGGATGGCAAAATAATCTGAATTAGGGTTGAAAAGCTGCTGACTCTTGCATAAAATGACTTTCCTGTTTAGAAATCCTTGTTTTACTGGCCAGCATATGAGAATATATGGCTCCCTCTTGTGGCTGAAATTTCTTCTACGTTAAAAGTCTGTGGACACGTCTGGTGATTGCTGGTACTTTATATTATGGAAACAGGAAATCAGCCATAAATCAGTCCACAAGAGTGATGGTGAACATTTAAGACACCGAGTATCCAAACTGCAACTCACAACCCACTTATTTATTGCAAACTGCCAACACTGCAATAAAACCTGAAAACTGAGGTTTTAGTTTAATAACAACTCCCAGCCAGACCAAGCAAATATATATATATATATATATATATATATATATATATCTCGTTGGCAGCGCACTTACCAGCCACGTGAAAACTTGGATGAGTCGCAGCTTATGAGTCACAGCATGTGACATCATCACCCTGTGCCACTACTCCTTTCGGTGCATCCGCGTGGACACTATGGGTGCTGTTATTCGATGGTAGACTACTGCGTTGGTGCTGGGGCGACTTGGTTCGCATGCCGACAGAGATGGCTCTGTGTGCCCACTGTGGCACACATGCCATAGGTTTGTCACCACTGGCGTGACCCGAGCCTGGTGCACTGCCCAAACCCTAATACAAGGCTAAAGTTCCATTGAAGAGTGCAATTTTGAAAAAGCCTTCCTTGAGTAGGTTTTTCTGCACAGCTTATCATGTCTGCCCATTCTAAACACAGTCCAACCATCAAAATCATAGTGGGACACCTCGTTTCCATAACCCTAACCCTGCACTGGTGCACATCCCTAACCCTAACGTAGCACTAAAGTTTCATTGAAAATAATGCGATGTTGAAAAACCTTCCTTGAGCGACTTTTTCTGCATGGCTCATCATTTCTGCCCCTTCTAAACACATTCCAACCATCAAAATCATAATAGGACACCCTGTTTTCCAACCCTAACCCTACCCTGGTACACACCCCTATTTCTAACAGAGGGCTGAATTTCCATTGAAAATAACGCGATTTTGAAAAAACCTTCCTTGAGTAGATTTTTCTGCATAGCTCATCATTTCTGTCCATTCTAAACACATTCCAGGCATCAAAATCATGGTGGGACACCTCATTTTCATAACCCTAACCCTGCCCTGGTGCACCCCTATAACCTTAATATAGGACTAAAGTTCCATTGAAAATAATGCGATTTTGAAACAGCCCTTCTTGATTATATTTTTCTGCACAGCTCATCATTTCTTCCCCTTCTAAACAAATTCCAAACATCAAAATGATGCCAGGGCACTTGGTTTTTCCAACCCTAACCCTACCTTGGTGCACAGCCCTAACTCTAATTTAGGGCTGAAGTTCCATTGAAAATAATGTGATTTTGATCAGATGTATGTGATATTTGATGTTTTTATTGGTGTTAGTTTAAAACTTCTAATGAAATATATATAAATAAAAAATAATGTGATTTTGAAAAAACCTTCCTTGAGTAGCTTTTTCTGCACAGCTCTTCATTTCTGCCCCTTCTAAACACATACCAGCCATCAAAATCATAGTCGGAACCTCATTTTCATAACCTTAACCCTACCCTGGTGCTCACCCCTAACCCTAACATAGGGCTAACGTTCCATTCAAAATAATGCCATTTTGAAAAAACATTCCTTGAGTAGCTTTTTTTGCACAGCTCATCACTTCCCCCCATTCTAAACATATTCCAGGCATCAAAATCATTGTGGGACACCTCGTTTTCATAACCCTAACCCTAGCCTGCTGCATCCCTATAACCTTAATATAAGACTAAAGTTCCATTGAAAATAATGCGATTTTGAAAGAGCCCTTCTTGAGTACCTTTTTCTGCACAACTCATCATTTCTTCCCCTTCTAAACACATTCCAGCCATCAAAATTATGGCAGTACACTTCTTTTTTCTAACCCTAAGTCAGTGATGGTGAACCTTTTAGAGACCGAGTGTGCAAACTGCAACCCAAAATACTTTGTATTTATCACAAAGTACCAACACTGCAATAAAACCTGAAAACAGCAAGTCCAAGCTAATACGTATATATATTCTTGTCAGCCCACTGACCAGGAAGCTGGGACGAGTCGCAGCTAATGAGTCATGGCATTTGATGTCATCGCCTGGCACCACTACTCCCTTCTGTGTATGCACATGGCTTGTATGTCTGTTGCTATCCAATGTTCGGCTGCTGGGGCAACTTGGCTCGTGTGCCCACAGAGAGGGCTCTGCGTGGCCGCTGTGGCACGCGTGCCATAGGTTCACCACCACTGTTCTACAACCTCTTCTTACATTCCAACTTAAGGCTGTGACCAATCTTGACTTTTTGGCTTTTACACTGAATCATTTTGTTTTTCGCTTCCCTTCCTACTTTACTTATCTTAATAGCCTTCCTTGAGAAAGGGTGTAGAGAACTTAAAAAGTCACATTAGTGTGTGTTATTTCTAAGATGGATTTTGGAATTTTTCCTATGGGCTAACATTACTGTCTTTGCATTGAATATCAAATCTGTGGACTGGAGCTGCAAAAGGGAATATGGCAGCCACTTACGTTATTTCAGCCCATTCAGGAACCTCAGAGCAGCATAAACTGGTTTCCTTCCTCACAAGAACTGTGTCAGAAAGATTAAGCTTGAGAGACCCCAACTGGTTCAGGATCACCCACAGTGCCTGTTGAGCTTACTGCAAGGCAAGCGAGCATGGCATTGCTGCCTCAGTGAGTTTTATAGCAGTGATAGGATTTGAACCTGAGCTTCCCCAGTCCAGCTTGGACTCTCTGTCTTCAGCCCTGCCCTGCGCTGAGACACAGTGTGACTATAGACTTTTGAAATTAGAAGTGTCACGTTGAGAGTGACTCCATGACTTAGCAATACTTACTTTGGCTCTTTCTAGAGCAGATGAAAATGTCTCTTGGAAGGATATGTGTTCCTTTGCATGGTAGTTCTTATGTTCCAGTGTAATTTAATGCTTATGTCATTTCAGAAGCTGTTCTGTTGTCTTGCTGACTATGATTTTGACCTTCTGATATTTTCAAATTAGTTTTCAGGTAAAAATCGATAGATTGCTTTGGTCAACACTTTTCATCAAGGAAGAATCCTTTTCGAATTGAAGATGACTACTACTCTTTCAGGTAACCAGAACTTCAGTTGCAGTTTATTTTGTTCCATCAGCAATAGCCTGTATGTTTGTGTGTTATTTCTTCTCTAAATTAGAAAAAATACAGCTATAGGCATGAATCTTTTGCTTGTTCATTTGGACCGTATAAGCCAGAATGTGAAGCAATGGAGGAGCCTCAGAATAGCTGGCAGTTTGGAGACAGAACTATGCATGGCAGTGTCAGAGATCAGGACAGGCAGACATTCAGCCATGTGGAACACTCAAGGACAGCTGAAATATAGGGTAAAGGAAGAATGGACTGGGCAGCTCATTACACCCTCTACTAAATAAGCAAAGATAGGGGTGAGGGGTAAGGACTCTTCCTTGGGTTAATGGCCCAGCACTGGTGGAAAAATAAATGTTGGGCTGTATGGCATTCTCTTTCTACTTCAGTGCTACAAGAGGAACTGTCTTCTGTTAATGGCGAGCTGAAGACATTGGAGATCCAGATTCAAGAACTTCTTGAGCATCAGCAAGAGCTGCTTCAGAAGAAAACAGTCCTGGAAAAGAAGATAAAACAATTTTCTGAATCAGAGAGTGGGAGCAGCAAAGAGATAAATTCTTCAACTGAGGAGTGGAACAAGGAAGGTCTGCTTTATTAGCTTTGACTTATATTTAGGTCCTTGTGCTGACAGTGAACCCCTTGTCAAACAGTGCAAACAAGTGCATGTTTTGACATAAAGTGCTCCAGCTCATTTCCCGCTGCCATATACTCTTCATATTGAAATACTTGGAATGCAAGTTTGTTTTGGGGAAGCTTCCTCTAACATAGTTTAAGTTGAAGTATGTGTGTGAGAAGATACTTCTCATTATATTTTATGTACATCCATTTTAAATAAGTGAAAGTACCAAAGTTGCTATAATTGCAGGCCAAAACATTGTACAGTTAAAAGCTTTATCTTCAGCATTCAAATAAATGCTGCATTTGGGCCAGATAGTCTTCCCCAATTCACCCAGCAATTAATTTGGGCCACATTAATTTGGACTTCTGTTTGCTGTTTTTCATCTGCATTTCTGGAAGGTGAAATGTGTACTTAGGTTTAGCTTACTTCTTTGCATTTGGCTTCAGGATGGTGAAAAAACTGACAAAATATGTGTTTCCTGAATTTGCCCTCTACTTTCCAAGAAAGGCTTATATTCACTTCAGTAAACATGTATTATTATTATTATTATTATTATTATTATTATTATTATTATTATAACATTTCTATGCCGCCCCTTGCCGAAACCTCGGGGCAGCTTACAACACGATAAAATACATTGATTTACAAATATAAGATTAAAATTATCAGTATAAATTAAGTAAATAAAAATATAGGAGGAGAAAGAGAAGGAAGAAGAAGTTGCCCTGGCCAGATCATACGTTTTAACAATTAAAATGATGTTTAAATAAAAAGGTCTTTACCTGGCGCTGAAAAAACAGTAACGACGGTGCCAGGCGGACCTCTTTGGGGAGTGAAGCAAAAGGAAAGAGAGAAGGCAGAACCTTCATTCTGCACAAGCCTGACCTATCGGTTAATTCAGCAGCTTATTGCAGGCTGGCATGCATTCATGCATCCACTGCTTATCTAAAAATTCTGTGGATAAACATTTATTTGGAAGGCTTGACTCATTTATTTATTTTCAAATTTATATGTGACTGAATAGCCTGATGGCTCTCTAAGTGACTAACAACAGTATAATACATTAATTACAATTAACCAATTAAGCATTACAATTGCAAGTACAGGGAAGGAGGGAATCTGCTGAAGCAGAATGAGCTCCTTTGCAAGGGGGAACAATCATTCCACTTAACTGTGTTCAAGTGCCAAATTCATTCATGCTGCTTCCTTCTCACAGATTTTCCATGGTCCACAACGGTCAGAGATGCATTGCAAAATACCTTCAAGCTCCGAAAATTTAGGTCTCTCCAACTGGAAACAATCAATGTGACTATGGCGAGAAGAGATGTGTTCCTTGTCATGCCTACTGGGGGTGGAAAAAGTCTGTGTTATCAACTGCCAGCAGTATGTTCAGATGGTATGTGCTTTTGCCTAATAAGCAAAACAACACCTGTTAGGATGCAAGTTTGCAGGGAGTTTGAATACATAACATATGGATTAATTATTGGTAGTGTTTCCATAAGAGAGCAGTTTCCATTTTCAGGTTCTCAGCTTAAATATTCCTGCTCATCAGTGATATTTTCATTTTGCTTTAATGGACTTGAAGTCCCATCTTGAAGATCATCATGTGAGCCAGTTGGGATATATTATACATTTGTGTGAGCAGATAACCTAAATCAGTGCGGGAGAGTCTATGCTAAATCTTGAAGTTGGCCAGCATGGTGGGGCTTTCCTCCATGTTCATTCAAACTTCTCCAAATTAACTTTTCTCAGCTAAATAAGCTTATCTTATGATCAAAAAGAAGATGGGCTACAGACTAGTAATTTGTATCCAGGACTGAGAGTCTCTTCTGACCATTTTCATACCTTCTTGTTATGTGTGTGCTTTGAATATGATAAACTGTGTTCCTGACCTTGGTATTATAGAGCGTCCGAGGATTTGAAGATCAGCATATTGCTCCTGTAGCAATAAAATGAGGTTGTCGGAAGCCTGCATCTGTGCAGATCTTCCTCTTTTTCGTGCAGCCTAACCCTAAGCTCTGCTGTGCACCAAAGCTTTGTTGTAAGTTGATGGATCCTGCTTCTTGCCTTTGGTTGAACACTCTGTGTTGGCATTTGCTTCCTTGGTAGGGGCTGCAGCAGCTGCCATTCTGGGCAAGCTTTGCAAGGTTTCTTCAGAGAGGCAGAGAGGGGGCTGAAGCAAGGAGAAAAGCCAGGTGGCTTTCATGACTTCTCATGAGTGGATTTTATTTTTTATGGGTCTAGACTGCTCAATTCCCAAAGCTGTCTGAGTGGATCACAATAAAATTAATAAAATACTCCCTAAAATAATGCTTAAAATTTTTAAAACTACAGTATAAAATAAAAGCAAATGCCACAGTAAAACCAAGCAACAATGCAAAATTTTAAAATACAGGTGCTAGCGACCCTCTCAGGAAAGTTCATTGTGCAACTGAGGAGCCACAACAGAAAAGGGCCTTTAGTAGCTGCTCACCTCACTGGGGTTGGGAAGTTCTGTATGGGAGGAGACAATATTTCAGTAAGTTGGTCCTCTGTGGTTTAGGGCTTTGAATGTTAATAATAACACTTAGCATCAAGCCTGGCCATGGAGCGGCATCACGTCGGCCAGTCTGCATTCTCCCCTGCCCCCTTAATTACAGGACTAGATTAGTGGCAGCAAAGTGCTGCAGTGAGCAGTTGGCAGGGAGCTAGAAGCAAGTGGAAAGTGGATCTGTATGTCCGTAGCTCCGTGACAGACTATGGAATGCAGAATGTGCCAGGTTCACTCCCTGGGATCCCCATCCCTAGAGGGATTGTGCATAGCAGGGCTGGGAAAGTGCGTTGGAAAGAAGTCGCTAACAATTGGAAAGTTGTTGCTGGTTACAGCAGGTGAACAGGTGGTGTGATTTGTTAAAGGGCAGCATGATGGGCCTGTTTCCCACAGTCGACGCAGAGAAGTTAAGATGCATGCAAAAGACTGAGCTGTGTTACTGCTGTGGCTTTAGGCACCACATGCGAAATCGGAGTGTCGGCTGGCTCTCATTAACTGGGGAGACACGCCTGTTGTGTATGGTGTGGAAGAGGCTTGTTTCTCATCAGACTTCATCCACTGGGCCGCTACCGAGTGCACTGTGTGGTCAGCACAATGTTTATGTGATTATGCTGTCTCCTGCGGGCACAGCAACCATGTGCCGAAACTTGCAGCCATTGAGCTGGCTTCATCCCACATTATGCAGGGGATGTGTCCCTTGATGGCGGACCACCAGAGCATGTTCTTAATAGACTATCTGTGAGCAGGAAGTCTTGCTGGTCAAATCCTTTGATGTAGCTGTTCAAATGAGATGAAGGTTTTATGAGATGAAGGTGCTGTTAGGGCAGTAGATGAGTTTAGCTCAGCCGTGGCCTCAACATCTAGTACAGTCCTTCAGCAGAACTACCAGCTCCCAGAGGGAAACCGTAATGTGTGAGAATCAGTGCTCTGGGCAGTTCTCTGTCCAAGAATGTTGAACACTCCCTGAAGGAATTCTTCCTAGCTTTTATTCTACAGTGCTGTGGTCCAGATGTGCCAGAGGTAGCAGATGATGAAATGGACCCTTTTCCAGTGACTAAAACAAATGATTGTTTTTTATTTCAGGGTTCACGCTTGTGATCTGTCCTCTGATTTCACTTATGGAGGATCAGCTAATGATGTTGGACCATTTGGGAGTTTCCGCAACTTTACTAAATGCCTCAAGCAGCAAGGTATGGCTGGAGGCCAAGCAAAACTGGCAAACCGCCAAGTGTGGACTTTGGTTCTTGGCGTCTTCACCAAAATTGCTGGCACCTCATTTCTTACTTAAAAGCTGTGGCCACATGTGATTAGATCACTTCTATTTATGAGCCTTGCAAGTGGTCAGTGAATTGGAATAGCACAAAAAAAGGATATTCTTGGAAAACATATCTGAATATTGATACTGAAAAGATGTACTTCAGTGCTGGCTGGTCTTTATTTGCTTTTAATGGCATGTGGCAATGAATGGAGTTGGCTATGGTGTTTACTTTCTAAGATGGGAACTTTCAGCCTAGAAATTGTGCCTTTTGCCTTGGAAGACGAGCCCTATTTTACTGCCCTGCCCCCAGCATTCAGCCTTCTCATGAGTAAAAGGCACTCTGCCTCTCCCACAGTTTTCCAGTCTGGATTGCGAATAGCCAGTGCTGTGCATCAGCTGATAGATATACGTCACATAAGAAGTGCTGGTGATAAGGGTAAGCCAGACCTAACTGGTAGGCCCAATAATGAGAGCCAGTGACCAGAGAATAGGGCTTGGAACTGCAAGTCCTAGATTCAAATTGTATGGCACAGAGTATACATTTGGGCATTAAAAGGACTGCAGTCCCCAGCGTATTCCAGCCAATATCATTAGCGGGAGAGATGCTGGAGGTTGCAGAACTCCTCTTCTTTTTCTGCATAGGATTTTACTCTTAAAATATTTTAGACCTATCAAAAGCATGGGTCCATCTTGATTTGGGTGAATATCCATGCTTGCCTCTGGGCCACAGTTCAGCAAATCAGTGATGCATGCATGGGTGCATCCATGCGGAGTTTTGTGTCTCTATGGAAGAACGTGGAGTCGTTTGTACTGCATGTTCTCATAATGCATGGACATACTTGCTGGGGAATTTGAAAGTGACTTGGAGAAATAAGGCCCCATGGCAGGTCAGCTGCTAATTCTCAGTGGTTGTAGGGAAGTAAGCCACAGCAGAATATGTTAATTTATACCTCATTAACTTCTTTAAATATTTTCAAGATGTTCCTTGCCTTTGGCGGAGGTTGTCCTCCAAATTCGATTCTGAATTTGCCACATTACTAGCAGCGTATTAGGTGGTTCTTCATTTTTCTCCCTAACTTGAGAAGCAGTTGATAGTATTACAGTGTGGTCTTTCCCATGCTGATGCCCTGATTGGATTGCAATTCCCAGTAGCCCCTGTTTCGGGATTATGGGAGCTGAAGTTCAAAACACCTGGGAGGCACTGGTTTGGGGAAGGCTATTATGGATCATTGGGGTGATGTGCTCAAATTTGTGGCAAGTACCTTTTATTCCTTCTTCCCAAATAGGAGCATGTGAAGTGGGTTCATTCCGAAATGCTCTCTCGCAGTTCTCAGCTAAAACTCATCTATGTGACTCCAGAGAAAATTGGAAAAAGCAAGATGTTCATGTCAAAGCTGGAGAAGGCTTACCAAGCGGGAAGGCTTTCCCGCATTGCAGTGGACGAGGTTCATTGTTGCAGCCAGTGGGGGCACGACTTCAGGCCTGGTATGTCTCTCAGGAGGCATTTAACGTGAGCAGGCAGAGCTTCTGCACTGCTCCACTAGCAAATCTCAGTTCCATTGCTATACATCCTCCCTCCCTGTACAGTATCACAAACTGGGTGTGTAAAGGGCGCTGGCTGAATTTATCTGCCTTGCACTTTAGGATAAGCTCTCCAAACTTGCTACTTTCAGAGTATCAATACCAGACATCAGCTTGTCTCCCCTGAAACCCCTCTAAATTTAGGAGCATTCTGAGATACTGTTTAGTTCTTGGTGTTCTATATAAACTGTGAGCGAACCTAAACCAGAAGCTGCTCAAAGCTGAAGTCCAAAACATCTGGATGCCACGTTCACCCCACTCCTGCCCTAGACCCCACTCAATACTGTCTGTCAGGAAAATTTGCTGACCATTTTATTTGCTGACCAAAATTTTATTGAGGGTTCTCCAGAACCTCATTTTGAAAACCATCCATTTCTGCTCTGCTCAAGACATGGTTCATTTGGAAATTCATAACTGTTTTGCTGCATACAAATATCCTTAAGTAAAGCTTGAGGGAATAGAGTGATGATAATAAATATTAGGCATTTGTATTTGTATAAATCATTTCAGCATTTATTTTTTCTTTCACTCTGCCCAGATTACAAGTTGCTCGGTATTTTAAAACGGCAGTTTCCCAATGCACCATTGATTGGATTAACTGCAACAGCAACAAGCCACGTTCTGCATGATGCTCAGAAAATCCTCTGCATTCAGAAGTGCATCACTTTCACAGCATCATTTAACCGACCCAACCTGTATTACGAGGTATCCCTGTCTTGTCTTGGGGAAGCAGTAGGGATGTGGGTGGAGGAGGACCCTGAGCTGTTCTTCCAGTGCCAAGCAAGCCAGTTTGCACACTTCCTGAAGCCAGGGACTCATCCTGCTTTTCCTTCTCCCAACTAGGGAGCATGTAGCACAGACAAAGTCCCCCTTACTCAGTGCCTGGAGCATGCTGCATTAAGGTGGCTTCAGCAAACTATGCCAGGAGGCTCTTTCTCATTCCAGACCTGTGAAAGTCAGATCGCTTTGAGGTTTTGAATTTCTGCAGAGAAAATTAATCTGGGTATATTTTTTCTAATATTTCAGGTACGGCAGAAGCCATCAACAGCTCAGAATTGCATGGAAGATATTGTTAAACTCATCAATGGAAGATACAAGGGCCTTTCAGGTGAACACTAAGAAAAATACGTGTTGACTTCGTTTAGCACAATTGCCTCTGAGAGACCACCCTTGTAAGGTAGTGCTCCAGAGTCCCCCGAGTCCTCCTTAAGTTCAGCTGTGCTTGGTGTGGCTAGAAGGCCTGCTCTTTTGTCTCATCAATCTTACTCATTTTGCTGATACAGGAATCATCTACTGTTTTTCCCAGAAGGACGCTGAACAAGTTACCATGAGTTTACAAAAACTGGGCATTAAAGCAGGCACTTACCACGCGAATATGGAACCTAGAGATAAGAGCAAAGTTCACAAGCTGTGGTCTGCCAATGAAATCCAGGTGAACTATGGTGTACTTGATAAGTTTCTCTGTGTAGCTTGGATGGTACATGTCCTGATCTGCCTTGCCTGTGTGTTTCAGGTTGTGGTGGCCACGGTTGCCTTTGGCATGGGAATTGATAAACCGGATGTGAGGTTTGTAATACATCATTCAATGAGCAAATCCATGGAGAACTATTACCAAGAGAGTGGGCGTGCAGGTATATTCAGCCAGAAACAAATTCTGCACTGATCTTTAAGGGCTTCCTAAGTGTTCAGCTAAGGCTTCATTTTTTTTTAATTCATTCCAGGTCGGGATGACCAGAAAGCTGACTGCATTTTATATTACGGTTTTGGGGACATATTCAGAATCAGTACAATGGTGGTGATGGAAAATGTAGGGCAACAGAAACTTTATGACATGGTTTCCTACTGCCACAACATGACCAGGTAAGTGATATTTGTGTGTGGGGGTGGGGGGAGGGTAAATTAGCTTATTTCATCTGCTGAATTCACTGTAAAAATAGTCCTGGCAACTCAAGTCTTGTATATACCAAAGGTTGTGCGTGAAAGATTGTGCATTTGAAATTTTTATATTGCCGCTTTATTGACTGGCCTTCAGGGTACACATGGTACTTCTAAGAACCTCTTGAGTGAAGCTAGGTAGCATTGTATCCTATTCATAATTCTAGATTTCATGATGGTTCAGTATAGTGATGGGTCCCTTTGGGCCAAACAAGTTTCCTCCAACCTATGTCATGCAGCTTTGCAAAAAGTTGGATCACAATCTCTTTTCTTTATTGATCAGCACAGTGGTTTCTAGGTCAGTGTGATCCGTGATAGACGTACTGGCGGCTCCAGGCAAACCCTGTGTTTCAAGTGTAAAGCCAGCTAGAAAAACCTGCTTGTTCCCTTTCCTTTTCAGTCCTAAAAATAGTATTATATCTGCATATTAGCGCTATCCCAGCCCACATCCGCATGCCGACAAACTATGCCAACAATTTCAGGTAGAGGTTGGAAAGCATATGGGGGAGGGGACAGGAGGCATAGAGCAATCTGTGCTCATTGCCATGGCTCAGAGCAGTGACATCCTAGGACCACCTGCTGGATTATGCCAGCCAAATAAGAATAGACCCACATCCCTACTGAGTCAGCCTGTCCAGGAGGATCCCATGGTCGGTGGGATCAAAAGCGGCTGTTGGGAGGTCCAAGAAAACCAACAGGGTTGCATTCCTTCTGTGCATCTCAGGGCAGCCAAGGCAGTTCCTGCTCCAAATCCAGGCCTGAAGCTGCATTGACATAGATGCATGCATGCTGTGAAGATTGAGCTTTCGGCTCAGGCTAGAGGCACCCATGAGTGGGGATGCTGCAGCTCTAACCTTGAACATGGGTAAAGACAACAGTGGGAGGGGGAGATTCTGTGAGGGACTGTCTGTATCTCAGGCTGCCCCCCTGACTTGCAAAGCCACAATTTGTGGAGAGCCACCGTGGCATCTGCACCAGATCTATTAGTATTGTGAACGGATGGAAACTCTCTAGCAAGGAAACCGGGTTTCCACCAAGGCTTCATTTCCCCCATGAAGCCGGCTTGCCCAGCACTCTTTTCTTTCATATTAGCAGCTGCACCTGTGCCTCCACATAAACCAAAACAGTTATTGGCCAGCGTGAGCTCTACCTGTTACCTGTTTATGCTTAAGTTTCCTCATGTAATCTCATCTGGAAGGTTGCACACAGAAAATTGGCTGCCATGTGTTGGAACAGCTGATGGCTACTCCCAGAAATCTAAAATTCAAGTTCTGCCTTGATTTAAACTGTGAAATAGAGTGGAATTCAGAGAAACTGAAGTTAAAATGCTATTAAAATGGCATTTTAATAAAATGCTATTAAAATTGGTAATTTAATTTCCATGGAACTTCAGTTTCTCCTGAGGATGCCAGCTATTTTTTCCACCTTTGACTAGTGTGTATTTCTACATCTCTCCATATTCTGTTACTCTCTCCATCGGCCTTTCATGCAGAATCCTAATGCTGGCTGGAGCATGCTGGCAAGTGCAGGCCTTTACTCCTGCCTAAACCTGCCGAGGAGTGTGTGCTTAGCCTCCGAATGGGTGTGTGCACATGGCATCTCTTGTTGGCTGCTTGACCCGGGCATTTGTCTTCGCAGATGCCGTCGAGTCCTGATAGCTCATCACTTTGACGAGGCCTGGGACTCTGCCAGCTGCAATAATATGTGTGATAACTGCTGCCAGGAGGCATGTAAGTGAACCGCGTGGCAAACCGTACTCTGATGTACGACCAAATTCTGGAAAGTCTGAAGCAAACCAGACTGACTCTGTCCTGAGGCAGCTGACTGCAGATAAACTACCTTTAGCATCATGTGAATGCTGCTGATGTGGCCGTCGTGTCAGCTGCCCTCAGAAGGCCATCACTGGCTCAGCTGGCTGCCTGTGAGTGTACTCCCCGCATTCGCTCTGGCTCCCAGTGGCTGTCCCAGGCCGCTCCCACATGGGTAGGGCTTGGTACACTCATGAATGAACAGGCACTGCAGTTGCATCTTTTGTGCTCACGTGTATGGTCAGTATTTTCCCAGCTTTCTATGTGGAACAGGCATTTCTTTGGCAAAGACAGTTGACAGGAAGACAGTCCATCTTAGTTAGGGTTGCCATCCAAAAGGGCAGGCTCTGCGGGGAGACTGGAGTAATGCTGGGAGAACGTGTGATGATGCACGGAGCGGATGTTGTGTGATCTTCACATGCTTTCTCCTTCAGCTTGGCTTCCCCCCATTAATTGGGAACGCTCTACTAGAGGCCGTGTAGCTCTTACCTTCCGTGATGAAGAGGTTCAAGGATTCAGGTAGCAATGATCTTTGGAGCACAGTTGAGGAGAGGGAAAGAGAGCACCATCCATGCTGAATTTGGCAGGGATGTAGCAGCTTTTATGTCAACTCTGATACGAGCTTCTGTGGCTAGAAAAGTTCCTTTGCTTGACCCTCTTAAGTTTGGTTGCTGTATTTCGGGTCTGGGTGGAGTTGGCCAGCTGTCCTGCAACATGTAGGGTGCGGTTTGGTTGGTACTTAGATTGGAGAATCACTGCTCTGCAGGACTCTGGACTCTGACTCTCTTTGCTTGTAGCATACTGGGGATGATATGTAAGTTTGAGTCCTCTTGGTCCATCCGTGTTTGCAACTAATATTTTGTGTGATTCCCATCTTTTCCACTTCCTCCACCACCCCTGCCAATGCTCAGTGGTTGAGAAGATGGATGTGACAGGTCACTGCCAGGATCTCATCAAGATTTTAAAGCAAGTGGACCAAATGAGGGAGAAATTCACTCCTCTGAAACTGATTGAGGCCTGGCTGGGGAAGGGTCTGTCCAGACTGGGAGTGGAAGTTGTTGCTCCCAAGGTTCCCCGTGATGTGCTGGAGAGGATTGTTGCCCATCTGATCCTCCAGCAATACCTGAAGTAAGTACACAGAATTCTTTGTCTGCCCTGTTACAAGAACTCCTTCCTTAGCCCAGTATTAAGCCCATGTGTCTCTTCAAAGGAAACACCTCTGTGGATTGCTGGGTTTGGCGACAGATGCCAAATCAGAGTCCATGTTCTTTTGCTACCCATTTCCAAAGCCAGAGATTCCCTGCAAAAGAGCCATACAGCCTCCTCTGCTTTTCTGCTTCAGTTAACTCTTACTTTCTTCTGCACTCTTTTGCAGGGAAGACTTCAGTTTTACTGCATTTGCTACAATATCATATTTGAAAACTGGGCCCAGAGCAGATCTGCTAAAAAATAAGGCTCATGTTATCACTATGCCGGTAATATTGAACAAAAAAAGTATTACTAAGGTAAGATTTTATTATACACCATGTCTTTCTGTGGAATTTTTGACTGGCTCTGGTGTATACCCTTCCCTTCCAATTTGTGTGGCAACATTCCACTATTATTTCTGTGCTCTGATTTGACTGTTCCTGTGTTAATTTATTCTTGTAGATTCTGGTAGTTCAGCATTATTATAGCTGTGTACACTTCCAGCTTTCTTAGTCTGAAAGGTTGCACAGTCCACTCTCTCTCTAACAGCCCCATTCAGTGGTGGAAACTTGGGGACCCTACTGAAGGATATGCTTCCCACTTCATTGGGTGACATTATGGAACCAATCCCTGATGGCCTGAGGTAGGGGATGACTGAACACCATGGGATCCTGTGTCCCATTGCTGAAAGATTTAGATCAGATCAGCATTGCCCATGAATTTCAGATGATGGTCAGTTTGGCCCAGGTAATATGTTAACACAAACTGCTTTGCTCAGCAGGTCGGATCAGGTCCATTATCCAGTCAGGGAAGTTCAACTGGAAAGAAAATTGCGGTTACCCACAAAAAGCGCAGTCACTCAGAGGACCACATCCAAGCAAAAAAGGCTAGAACTGGGGGAAATGAAGATGATGAACCAGTGATGATAGAAGATTAACAAGGTGGATTTCCCAATGTCCTTGACTAGTTACTATTTGGCTGGACGGAGGACAGCCCAACGGCAGTATGTCTTACATTTTTAAAACCAACGTATCCTGGATGTGCAATGAATGCAAAGAAAACTGTAATGCTACAGGGACAAGTGGCTGAAGTAACCACTGTTCTTCATTAGCTGCTGTCAATTGTGTACAAAGTCATTTCAGTAAAGGACATAGAATGTTTCTTACAGATATTGTAGACTGTCTTTCTGAAAATGCACCATTATGTCACAAGCTGGGCTTTTGAAAAATCTTGGAAGGGTAATTTTAAAAAGCAGTTGCTTTTCAGTAATACCAGCTTCACCCTTTTTTGGCAATATTCTACTTTGCTGCTCTAATATAACAGAACCCTACACACATGGTTGAACCCTGCAGAGCTGTTTCATGTTGGCTTTTCCTCATCATTTGCTTCAAGTGTCTCCTCCAATGGTTTATCTACTTTTTGAAGAAGACTTGGAAGTAATGCAGAGCCTGGCAGACAGACAGTGAACCAGTTTGGAGGCTAGCTCTAAAGAAGGCGTGAAAAATGTGTGGTCTGCCACAGCTGGAGAGCTACTCCTAGAGTTTCAGTCCCTGCTACAGAGGAAAGTTTGACCCAGACTGGCAGTGGCTGTAGAAGGTTTTGGGCAGTATTCCTTTCTAGCCCTACTTGGCGTTGCCATGGGGGATTTGCATGCAAGGGCTGTGTCCAGCTGTCCCATCTAAGACACACGAGAGCTCCACCAGCTCAAATGTTCACCAGCCACTACTGATCAAGCCTTCGCTCCATTAGTGGCAGGTTTAAGTATCAGACATTGCCCCTTAGACTCCCAGTGACTTATTCAAGAATCCCTTCTGTCCATGCATGTATCATTCTTTCCATACTGCCTTTGTGGCAGTTTTCAAGTAATACTGAAAATACTACGTAACAAAAATATAACACCACCTTTTATTTAAAGAATCATCAGGATCCTTCCCATGTGGAAGTCAGTGAGCGATAGAACACAAGAGTCTGGCCAAAACAGGGCAGCTAGTGTCACTGTCACAAGCAAAGGTGCTCGAAAAGGAGCTTAGAAATATGGCACAAGAGGGAAGAGATGCTCATAATTTTTCCCTTTCCCTTAACGCCAGATTCCAGAGTTATCTCATGAAGTTCCGTCATAAAAGGCAGCAGTTTATACGGCACAGTTAAACTCTGGATTTTGCTACTGCAAGACGTGATGCCCACTGATGAGACAAATGCATGCTGAATGAGGCAACGGGTGGCTGTGAGACAGCAGGGCTATATGGTCCCTCCAGGATCAGGGCCACTCTGCCTTTGCAGCCAGGCGCTGTTGCCAGGTTGCTCCTTCTGGATCCTTTCCTGCTTAGTGAATAAGACACATGCACCTGTAAAAAGCTGGTATGGCGTGGTGGTGGGAGTGTAGACTGGGAACCCTAGAGTTCTGGGTTCTAGTTTCCACTTGGCTATGAAACCCAGAGGGTAATTTTGGGCCAGTCACTCTCTCCCAGCCCAGCCAGCCTCACAGGGTTGTGAGGGTGATGCTGCAGGGTGATGATTTTCCGCTTGCTTCTGAGTAAACATGCAGAAGGCTTCCCCCATTTCTTCTGAATAAGCTTAAAATCAGTAAGGGTGTGATCCTACGACAACTGGTCAGGGACTGGCTGTCCACAAACATAGTGCTGATCTTCCTTCCAGGAAGGGCAGATTTTAAAAAGCTTTGAATTCTCAAGCTTGTTATGCAGAACATGTATTCCATTTATATCCTCCTGTTTTCCCCTCTAGGACCCCAAGGTGGCTTATATAATCCTCATCTCAATTTTCCTCCTCACAACAAGCCTGTAAGGTAGGTTAGGTTGAGAGTTCGCAAGCACCCCAAAGTCTCCCAGTGAACCTCATGTTCAAGTGGCGACTAAAAGCCAGCTCTTGTGAGTTTAAGGCCAACACGGCAATCCAGAACTCCTTCCGTCTTTGCTGCTGCTGCTGCCACGACCAGGGTTTTGGGCTGGGTCCCACGGTGCTCTAGTCTGTTGCAGCTTGGCATCAGGTATGGAATATAGGCATTGCAGAAAGTAACATTCTGTAAGGAAATTAACTACCAAAACAGATAATGGTGGGAAAGGGGCGAACTATACACTGGGTAGCTTTTGAAAAAGGATCACACAAATTCATGGCAAATAGATCTAGAAAAGGCAAAAAAGTACCTCTGATGTTACAAGGAGTGTGAGTATCTCCAGTATGCCTCGAGTAGCAGGTTCTTGTGGCATCACTGGTCACAGCTGGAAATCAGCAGCTGATTCTGAGCTAATACGGACGGAATTCTACGTATGTATACACAGAAAAGGTTCAGCAACTCCATGCATGTCCAGCCAGCCATGCATCATATGGCACCTTAAACTGATTTTAGGCTACTCCTCTAGTTGCAGTAAGATTTGTGGAGGCAGCACAGAGGCAATTCACAGAAACAGATCTAATCCGCTTTCCAGCCAAAAAGATACAGGTATCTCCATCAGGTGGCTCATTCTTCCCACATGGAGTGTTTTTAAAAAGGTAGACCATTGTGCTACTCTGAACAATTGTGGTTGTACTTCTCAGATTAAGCCAACATTTAAGGTTGGCTTACAGTAACAGTTACAGTAAGAATTAGAATGTCAAATAACCAATGACAACTGTACGTTTCCTGGAAAGGTAACAGACAGATGCAAAGTGCTCACATGCTTGGGTCCATGCCTTTTCATACATTTGCCACTGCACCACCATTATGTGGATGAGAGAGTACCCAGTTGTGGGTGTGCAAAAGGGACCTGTGGCTACCTCACAGCAGACTTATGAAAAATCTGTTGTTGCATTAATAACATTCCTACTGGTTAAGCACTTTCAAATCTCAGTTTTAGGGAGAAAGATGTCAGGAGGCCCCTGAAGCATTTCGGCATACTTCACTTGGACTGGATCATGCCTGTAATTTGAAAATAGTTTCACCAGAACTGTGTGAGCTAAATATACTCTCTGTGTAAGCAGCTTTGAATGGTATGAGAACTAAGAGACATTTATTCAATGCCCAGCCTTCCTTAACATCTGGACACATGGTACAGTGGTATCTCGGCTCACGAACGCCTCAGTTCATGACCAAATTGGGTCGCGAACAGAAATTTCAGAAAAAATTTGCCTCAGGTCGCAAATTCTGCATCGGGTGACAATCGCAATCATGACCTTCCCTGCATGGGCACGATCACAGTCGTGCTCGGGGGAGGGGGCGGGATGGGAGATGGCCGCAATCATCATCATTCTTTCTTAACTTTGTTCTTTGTCACTTTATTTCAAATTTTTGTGATAAAAAAATGGTTACAGAACAGATTAACCTTATGGGGAAATTTGACTTGGCTCACAACCAATTTGGGTCACAACCAGAGTCACGGAACAGATTTAAGTTCGTGAGCCAAGGTACCACTGTATGTACCAGCAGTGCCTGAAAGCACCCACCCTATATGCATTTAAGGTAGTCATATTCCATCATCTCTCTCCTGTGAACAGGAGAATCCTTTTTTGGAAAATCCAAATATTGAAGAAGTCACAGACACTGATCTGCTCAGAACTTCAGTCAAAGTAATCCTCAATGTCAATATTCGGATCCAGGAGATCTGCACCATAACGAGAGAGATCCATTTGATTTAGAATCAAGTTTTCAAAGGTTTCTTCCAGGTCTGTTTCTCCAATCAACACAGCTCCCAGCATTCGTCCATTCCGCATCACCACTTTGATGTACTCCACTCCTTTGGTGCACCTCAGCAGCAGTTCATGGTCTGAACCCAGCCCCTGGGCATTGTATTTTCCCAGCAGCACTACCTAGAGGGATTTTTAAAAAAAAGTTACAGATCACAGCATCAATGCACATCTTTAGGCTGCAAATACTCTTTTAGCTGTCCCACAGCATTAAAATGCCATCATCTGTGAGTCCAGCCATTCCAAAATGGGAGTCCACTTCTTCAGGTTCAAGCCTGAGTAAATGCCAGGCAGCCATCATCACAGCCCTCCATGACACATGTGGCATTAGAGGCCAGGACTTCATTCCTGCTGTGAAAGGGGGCAGAACCACACGCCAGGGCATCATTTGGTCCTGGGTGGCTGCACAAGGAGGATAATCATCCCAGCCTGAGGCAGGAGAAGCAATGACTTCCCTATTCCCGCTGTTACCTCCAACCAGAGATGGGTGATAGTGAAAGATTCCTAGGAACATAGGGCTGGAAGGAGCCTAGCAGGCCATCAGGTCCAACTCCCTGTTCAGTGCAGGACTCAAGACTCCCATCCAGATTCCAACCAGGCCTGACCCTGCTTAGCTTTCAAGATTAGGCAGGGTCAGGCACTCTCCCAGTGCCTCCTCCCAAAGATCCAGTAGCCCCAGGCCAGCTTGAGGAAGGGCCTACCAAGGAGCTAAGTCTCAGGGTGGGCTGCTGCTCTCCCCTGGTTCAAATACAATGCATTACCTTATAATTGAAAAATTTTGTAACGTGAGCAAAGAGTTCAAAGCTGAAATCTAGGTCTGCAGATTCTCCCAAAGTATCAGCGGCCATACATTTTGCAGCATACCACCCCATCTGCCTTGCCTGGGTCCAAAGCCTCATCTGAAAATCCAAGGCACAATGACAAAAGTTAACAAGCTTCAGGACTGAGAGCATGTCTTTCTGGAGCCTGGTCTCCAGCAAATTCAGCTTGCTAAGGAGCAAATTTAAACATTTGCTCTCTGCAAAAACATGGCAAGCAAAGCTTCACCTCAAGAGTATTCATTGAGTTATTCATTTTGATATTTATAAACCACCAAGTAGTTCAGATAGTCTCCCTAGGCGGCACACAACAGCAAAATTGCAACTAGACAATTAAAACCATCCTGAAAATATAAATAACGAATTTATTATTCTATTATTATTATTATTATTATTATTATTGAACTAAGATCATTCAAAAACATGTCCAGTTGTTTGACAAAAGGAGCAGTGTAAAGTGCTCCTGTTCGAGCTTCCAGCCAACTACTTGTGCCCTCTTGTAGGATACTCTATTACATTCTCCTTTTTCCCCATCACATTCTGAACCTTCAGTATTCACTTAGCATTCCACGTCCAGTAAGAAAGCTCAGAATTCACAAGGTCCCCGAAAGGGTTTTACGTTGTTCTGAAAGCCTTGAGGTTCCCCCAGGCATAATACACCTCTCTTGTACATGGTTGGTGAAGTGTTAGAATTTCAAAACAAAACAGTGGGTAAAACCCAGGCAACCCACACTGGTTTTACCTGCTGCCAAACTGGGCTGGGTTCCCAAGATGTGGTGCAGACGTCTCCGGCTGCATAGATACCTGGTTGTGAAGTGTGCATCCCTTTGTCCACTTTCAGCCCTCCATCTTCACCTAAAGCGAACTGAACACCCAACAGGTAAATGCATTACATTTCCTCCAAAAGAAGAAGAAACAGAAGGTCGTGACTTCGTTCATGTTTTCAATAATAAAAAGACTACATTGTTTTTTGTTTAAATCATTTTACTGTGCGGATGCACACAGCTGCAGCTCATCCCAGTTTAGGTCCCACCATTCCAGTTTCACAGAACGGTCAGGCTGGAACAGATCTGAATGGTTCGATCACGACCTAACCAGTGGATGCTTTTACATGCTTAGCAGCCTGAATTATTTAGGCAGCGGTGTGGCAAAGAGCAGGAAGAAGCCAAGCATATTCTGCCACGGATGCATGAAATAGCACCGATATTTCTGCACATCAAGCCGGCAGAGAGATCAACAGACAGGGAGCCATGGCAAAAGTCTAGATGCAAGTCCGGACTGACTTGGAAGGTTGCTTCCAGTTTCCCATTATGTGGGACATGTTATTAAGGGAGATACCAGGAAATGGATGTAATTTAAGGAGATGAAAGAGGGTGAGACAAGTTATCCAAGGGATCAAATGACTGAATATTTCAATCATTCTGTCCAAACAAACACCAATAAACTGAAATGGCCATATTACTCAGCCTTGCCCCCAGAGGAGGTATCCATTCCAGCTAAATGCCTTTTCAGGAAATGCCACATTTTTAAAAGGAAAGGTAGGTTGTATTCTTGAAAACCATATAGCTTAGGACATGGGAAAATAATTCAATTACAACCATAAGTTCAATAATCTACTTTGAAAAAGATTACATATCAGCAGTATCAGCATGAACCCTTACATTATTACCATCAAGGAATGGCTGTACATTCGGGACCACTCCTGTTGCACTGACAATGAAGTCACAGCCGTATATCTTCCCATTGGTTAACTCCACATACACAGGCCATAGCTCTGAAAGGTGGAAAAGTTCAAGCAGAAGATTACAACACATTTTATGTGAAATTCAGCCACAAAACTAATCATGAAATACCAGTGTCTAGACATTAAGTTACTCCACTCTCTTGGAAGAACCAGTCACCAATAATGGCCCATTTCAGTGGGGCTGTTTAATTATTCAGTCAAAGGTTCTGGGGTTGTAGGGGAGGGGAGCAGTTCCTTGAAAATTCCTTAAACTGAGTGAATGCCTACTTTTTATTTGATGCTGTTTCTTGCTAATGTCCCCCATATCTGTTAATGATTTGGCATCGATGTCTTCAAAGAACTGTATCCACTTCCTCTTGGATTCATCACATGGGCAATCCCAGCCATTCAGATATCGCTTACTGAATAAGACAATGGCACAACTATACATAGCCAAAGTCCCTGAGGACAAACAGGGCCAACTGAGAGCAACGACAGTGCTTCCTGAACCCCTGGCACTATCACCAAAAACCCCCACACCTGTTGGCAGGGCAAACGATGTTTCCCTGAGAACTTTGAGAACAGAGCTTCTCTCAGATTCTTTAATAAACTGAGTACATCATTAACTGATCATGGAGTTTCACAGGAGAGATGAAATCCACATTTCAAGCAATGGCCTGTGATCCAAAATGCCTCAGTCTGATTACATAATCACTTCATTTCTTCCTTGCTCCTTGTGATTGTGCAAGAAAATCCTCATGCACTGAGGGAGAGGGTTGGAGCTGTAGTGCCTGCAGGTCCCGCCACCCAGAGAGGCTTCCCTCCCTGCAGGCCACAGTGCCTGCCTTGAGTCCCACGGAAGACTCCTCAAAGACCCCCAACTCTGCTATTTACCTTCATCTGTTTCTGCCATCCCTTCATCCTGCTGAGCTCTAGGGAAAACCAAAGGCACCTTTCCTGACTGCTGGAATTCTTCTCGGAGGTATATCTTCTTTATTTCACACAGATTTTCAATATGAACTTTATGGGAAAGCTAAAGAACAGTGAAAATTGATTTCGCTAGTAATTAATATCCAAATGACTAGTAATATATCCTTTCCTCCTCCAGGAAGATTTGAACAGCATTCTCCATATTGTCCTTTACATAGCCAGTGAAGACATCCCTGTTCCCGTGAACTTTCAACAGATGATGCTACTCTCTGATTTTACTTCCAAGCTTTGATGTAGAGAAAGCTTTTCTTTTTGTAATTTATGTATTTCACTCCTTTTATTGTTTTTAGCTTTCACATCAACTCAGTGGCTCTTTGAATAGACAGCTGACAGAAATATATCCCAAATGAAAAATGGCAGTACCTTCCTTGCTCCCCTGAGATGCAAGCCTTCATGCCAGTCGGGGCCTAAGGCACTGCCTGTTTTCCCAGGGCTTGCCGCAGCTTTCTCCGCCATCTCTTCTTCTGTAGGGGCAGGAATTGAGGTAAAGATCAAGACGCGGTACAGAGAAGGGAAGTCCAGAGTCTGAATTCTGCAGCTACTGTACAGTGGGTGGCAACAAACTGTTTTCTTGTAGGTGGACAGAACTGATAAAAGTGGCATCATCTAAAAGTAAAAGCAGGACTGGGGAAAATGGTCCTCCAGATGTTGATGGACTTCACTTCGCATCTGCTCTAGCCAGCCTGGCCAGTGATGAGGAATCAGTAGACATTCTCCATCCTCCAACATCTGAGGGATGCAAGTTCCACAGCCTTTTCAGCAAGGTCTTCACTGCTATGGAGCACATGGATGTGACAGTGCTGTCGACTGGGGGCTATTATGCTTCCTGATCCTTCCTCTGGCAGCCAGATGTGCATTTTGGAAAGGCCAGAGGCTGTTAGCAATGAGCTATAAAAAGCACATCGAGTTTCCTGCTTCTTTGCCTTTCCAGTTAAACTGAAAGCAGGTTAAAAACCCTCTCAGGTACGATCCTAGATATATCCACTCAGAAGTGCCATTGACTGACTCTCATGCAAGTCGATAAAAGATTCCGGCAGACCCCAATGGGTGCTTCTGCTTCTGCCTCTGCGAATTCTGTTTCTCAAAGAGCCCCTATCACTTGTGCAACCACAACTGAGCAGCTCGGAGGGCAACCCAAAATGAGGCAAAACATGTTTCTGGAAAGAGGCAGGTTGGCAGAGCTGGAATAAGAGAGCTCCAAGAATCTGCCTCCAACCAGAAATGAGCATCTCCGCTCACTTCAGGGTTTCCCTCAGGAAATGCTAGCTCTCGCGGGCATAGAACCCCATATTTATCCGAGTAATTTACAGTGACTGGGTTCCTACATGCACTATGGTGTGTGGAAATGAGGCCCTTGGTCATCAAAATGTAACATTATTTACCATTCAGAAAACACGTCAGGGTGCTCAAATCACTCTGCACAAAGTTGACATTTTACAACAGGTGTGCAAGGTGGGCTACGATCAAATAGCCTAAGTGAAGGTGAGATTTTAAGTTTATTGATAGGGCTACCCCCCCCCTTCCTTGTCCTTTGTTCTTGAATCAGCTCAGTCCAGTTCATGGGGTTTAGCCACCATGCTGCATCAGCAAGGAGAGTTCCAAAAGTATTGGCAGTCACTAGGCTGAGCAGTTGCACTGGATTCCAAATACTGTGCACCATATCAGGCTGTGTACCATACCAGCAGTTCCTCTTGTGGTTGTATATTTCGTTCTTTTACAAGCAAGCGGAGGCTCCTGTTTTTCCGTGCTGAGCTGTGGAATAAGGAATTCAGCTGCTCCCGCATCAAAGAAAGCATTGCCTATCGCTTTGTCTTTGATAGTCCAAATCACTTCACAGCCTTCAATTTCGTATCTGGAAAGGTTTGAAATACACAGACATGCTGATTCTGTTTCCACACTCAGGACTCATAGTTGTAGTCAGTAGATCAACACAAGCATGGACAAGAGGCTAATTTCAAATTATGGGAATCAACGGTTCAAGGCAAGCTAGTTCATATTTTTGAAGCTGCTCTTGTTCCGATGAGTTACTGCAACAGGAAACTTAAAAAGAAAAGAAAAGGATGCCCCCTCTTTTAATGATGAGTTGATTTTGCTTTGTTTCTTAGGTTGTTAAGTTCTCATGCTGGGCCTAATTGCAAGTCTCAACAATAGACCACCGTGGGTTAAATAACACATGGGGACCCAATGCACATAGGCTGGCATCTTGCATGCCATGGCTTGTCACACTGTGTGAACTTGAGTAGTGTGGGTCATATTGTGGGCTGTTCCAGGTTTATCTAGGGTCATTTAACACTGCCCAGTTTTGCACAACATGACAAGCTATGTCGCAGGGCACTGGCACATTTGCTAAAATAAGCAAAGATATGGAAGTCTGATCGTAAATATTTATTATAGATTAAGCTGCTAACGCAACTAAGTGCTCTATGGGACAAATGGCGTCTACAGCCAATAAAATCGCATGTTCATCTTATCTTAAATGATGAAAATAAAAGTGCTCCACTTACACCAACTCTAGTGCAATACCACCATTTCCGACAATGATTATTCGTTTAGCTGTCGCCAAATGTTTCTGAAATTCCTATATTTTAACAGGGAGAGAAAGATTTATTTATTTAAAACTTTTGTATGTCGTCCCTTAAGCATGGCAACTCGGGACAGCTTACAATCATTAAAAGAACACAATACAACAGCAATAAATAACAATTAACCAAAAACATTACACTTAAATAAGTTAAATAAAATAAGTAATTTTTGTCAGTCATAACGCCATTGCAAACTGATTTAATCAAGCAACCCTGAACGTTATATGGGGATGAGACATTTTCTCCCTTCTCTCATAATGTTATTAAATTCTAGCTTCCTCTCCTCCTTAGTCACCCTCCCTGATCCCCAGATGATGTTCCCACAACACTTCCACCTATTCTCCTTGGTAAGGTACTCATCCCTTAATTTTTTCAGTTGTTCCCATCAGCAAATTTCTCCAGCTCTCCACCATTTCTGGTTGCTCTAACTCTTTGCCACACCACCTCAAAAATTTCATCCTGGAATTGACAATAGTACTGTTTAAGGCAAACTGCATTACCGCAACGCTGTCTGTATCTCGGATTCCCAACACAAACGGGTTTCCTTCGGTAATCAGTTTCGGCTTTGCTCCCGCACACAGGCAAAGCTTTTCGTAGACATATTCCTTGCCGGCTTCGGTGATTATTTTCTGTAACCAGATTCAACCAGAGAAGAATCAGCATAAATGGTCTAATCAAAGCAAGTTGTTGATTTGATACAAACAGCCGTTTCCTAAGCTGGAGGACAGCAGCTTCATGGCACAGCGAAGCGAAGGCTGCAGGGAGCAACAGAAGAATCCAGTGAAAATGAATTAACAGCAGTGACTCACAGATGGAGTGCTGGGATCATGGAAAAACTGGGGCCAAAACAGGGTCACTGAGAAAGAAGAGGAGGGCATCACATCACAGGCAAGTCCCAAGGTCTCCACAAGTCACCACCAACCCCGTTGCAAAAACCACAAAGTGCTGGGCAGAAGGAATGCTGAAAGACGGCTCTGTAAGGAGTGGGCATGTCCAGCAGCCAGGGACGTTTGAGTGTCAGAGGGAAAAGAAAAGCTAGAACCCAATGGGAGGAGAATGGCACACCCAGCTTCAGTTTAGGCTGTCCTAGAGGAAAGCCTGGCCTGTGGAAACTCTGAACGGAAGTGATGTCCTTATTGATTAACCATACTCTGTACATTTGGTTGCAAGTGTTGCTTGTAAAGATACTGATCTAAAATCAGTACAACACTGTTCTAGCTGCTTCTTGAAAATAAATAGTTTAGGCTACATTTTAATCTGGGGGCCTATAGCCCTCCAAACTTGGAGGAATGCCTGCAACCAACACAGAGAAGAACCATGCAGATGAGGGCCACCCCTCCACTCCTCCTGTCCTTCAGAACATTTAGACAATTTCAGAGCAAGGAGAGAAGACTGAGGTGCCCCAGGGTAACTTGTGCCCTGACAGCACCTCTCTATTCCCCTCCCTGTCCCCTACATCCCATCTCCAATGGGGTCCTTCTTGTGACCTCGGAGATGTAGCTGGTGGGGATCTTTCCACGCCGGCTGTGAGGGGGACGCACTTTTCTGACCTCTTGGCTGCATCTCCAAAAATCCCGTGAGTGTCAGGCAGACGGCATCTTGCACTCACTGGATTGCACTGGTAAGGTGCAATCTAAGTTTGGACCCCAAAAAGCTCCTAGCATTTCCCAGCCAGCCAAGTGGTCTAATGATGGATGTAGCCATATAACCGATGTCCTTATTGTCAACCAGGGATCCAATCCTAAAAGTAAGACTGCTGCGCAAGCAGTTAAACGAGCGAAGTCTCCCTGCTTCTGCAGCTTACCTTTTTGCAGCCTCTCTCCAAGTGGGTTTCTTCCCTGCCCCATTCTGATTTCTTCCAGTTTCAGAAGAGAGGATGGGAGGATTCTCCGCTCCTCACTAATTCACTGTTCCTTTTCAAAAACGCCTCCTTCCACATGATTACAGCCACTGGTGTTTAAACAACACAGGCCTGCCACCCTCCTGCCTAGACAGGTTGGGCTTCTCTGTATCCATGCCAAGTGTGAGCAACAGTAGTAACTGTTCACAAAAGGCAAGAATAAGGGAAATTAGGAAAATATATTGAGGGAAGTTGGCTGCACGTGAAATGCTCCATAAAGGAGAGTGATTGGTTCTCATCTCTACTTTCCTATCCCGCTCCCCGCCCCCACCAGTTCGCCAACATCTCAGCTGAGTGTCCTCCTCTGCTTTCCCCATAGCAAGTTGCCATGTTTCCTGGTTTCAGGCCCAAGCGCTCAGCCATGCAGCTGGATGAGCAAATGCACAAGCATCCGGAAATCAATTCATGCAAGAAACCACCAAGCAGAATAATGAGCTATAAACCTTTCCTCTTGGTGGCAGTACAGGACTTTGAGAAAACATAATCCAAAGTGCTAGCTTATAGAAATGCAAAGTGGAAAGCCTATTATATATCCTCTATTTAGCAACTGAGAGTGTTACTATTAAGTGTAATATATACAATGATCAAACTAATAGAATTGATTTATGAATTTAACATTTTTATTAGGATACTGTTTTATTTGTGAAAAATCAATTATTAATTACTGGTGCATTTATAGATCTTATAAGGTGAATTTTTATTTCCTTAATACTCATCTTAAAGCTTTTAAAAATAACCAAGTATTAAGTCAAAACTGTAGCTATAAAATTGATAGAATAATAATTATTGACTTGTTATGCAATTTCTGCACTCAGCACTACATATAATTATTGTGTAAGGTCCCTTAGTATACTTTTCATATTACTTTTCCTTTTTTTCCTTTAATCTAGAAAAATAAAATAATAATTTTTAAAAAGAAAGTGCTAGCTTATACTCCAGATGTTTTCTTAGCTCGAATAGCGTAATGTACGAGTCAGCCGCAACTAGCATGTATGTGGCGGCGGGGTGGGGGGACCTTTACCTTTACAGTGTAATAAAAAGAATCTCTCCCTCTAATTCAAGTCTTAACTGAACTGGTCCCAATCCAAACAAACCTTCCTGCAGTTGCTTCTTATTTTGTTTCATGCTTAATTTGGCTTTCAGATGCCTGAATGATCTGAGCTGATCATAAAAGAACAGCAGTACTACGCTGGAAAAGGGGTTTTGGATCAACAAGGCTGTGACGTGTCATGTTCTATTCCATGATACAGCAATCGCACTTCTGTAACATACATGTTAGGGTTTACAAGCACTATACTGGTATCTGCAATTAATCCAACTCAATCTATCTGAAGGGCAATCCTGTGCACCAAGGATCTCAATCTTTCACATCAAGCGATCTCTTTCTTCTTCTCTCTTGAAAGGAAAGCTACTGCAGATCCCACATAAAGACAACAAGGGTGCCGATTCTCTTACATGTTCTCCACTTTTGAGCCATTTTACAGCAGACTGTATAACCTGAATGTTCGGATAGCGTTTTTCTAAGACACTGCTTGCTTGCTCCTCGATATCAAATTCTTCTAAAGTTCTGGAAACCTGTCAAAGATGTAGAACAGATCACTTCAGATTGCTGATCAATGTACACCAAGACTAGATCATTTTTATAAAGGCTTGATGAAGAAACGTTAGGCGCATCCACTGGCCACCTGTATGGTTCTTATATCGTGTCTTACTTGACAAAAGCTTTTGTAAACACACTATGACATCTTTTTAATAAGAGATTGCCTAATGCAGCAAATGGTTGGTAAACCCCTCTTTTAAACATGCACTTTGGGAAGGTCCGACAGTTGCTTCTTTTACAGGGGCAAATTTTAGACTTTGAAAGATATTGTAATTCACTGAATATTAAATTATTTACTTGCTTCACGGAAAGTAGCAAATGGATTCACTGTCTTTCTGACAGCTGAAAGACTGAAATTACAATGTCGGATGATGATAATGCTACTGCCACCGCCGCTGCAATGGAGTGAAGACAATGCTTTCCCTTTTGAACTGGTGGCATATAGACACCACCTTCGCACCGATGCTTGTTTATTTGGTCCACTTTTGGAGTCAAAGTATAACAGCTAGAAAATTGTATGGATTGTTTTGCAGTTGCATAAGGGGAGAATTTATTTTGCAGCTGTTCACAGACACCACACCAGAAACTCCTCTGCAAGGTACCACTCTGCCTTAGGGATTCCTGGGTTAAGTGTCCTGGAAAAACCAAGGATCAAATCTCCATTTAATCTCAAAGCTTTAAGTGTGTTCCTGAGCTAGTTTTTATAATTCAGCGTACCTCATAGTGTCACTGTAAAATTAAAATTTGGAAAGCAGAACTCTGACTGCTATACATTGAACTTCTTGAAGGGAAGGTGAGAGATAAACCTAGTAAGTGAATTATCATAAATGTAGGGAAATTGTTTGTGTGAATATACACAGGGACAATGAATGCCAGCTTTTGGGGGTTTTAAAAGAAAGTTATAGTATGCTCATTTTAAAAAAAATGTTCAGAGCAGTTCCAAATAGTTCAGCATTCAGACTGTGATAAGACTGCTTGGCATCCAAAGTTAACAGCAGGGGCTCCTGCACCATTCACTGAATTTGAATCAAAATTCCATATTCTATCCACTGGATCATAATGCTTCTTACATCACATGATTTCTTTTCTATTTAAAAAGACACAAAGGAAACAAAGGGGTTTTAAAATGTCTACTACTTTGAGCATTTGGCCTTAACAGCTAGTCTTGGATACATCAGCTCAAATCTCTGGTAGGGGAAAAAAGCATTTGTCAGACTTCCCAGAGTTTTATGAATTAAGGATTGAAAGTGAAATCTTGTAAGAAGCACCCAGGAAAAGGGGATTACAGAGAACAAGGAGCACTTGCTGATATTTACATAAGAACTTATTAAGTCCCCACTCTTCTATTAGAAGTACCTGGGATGGTGTGTAACATAATCAAAATGCTACAATATAAGCAATGAATAGGCAGATACAACAAAATGTCTAAAGGTAAGAATAAAGCAAAATCAAGACCTTACATTTGAACACAAACCTAACAACAGTGAGAGTAAAAACTGTTATCCAATAAAGTCAGAAAAATAAAACTAGGACTGTTCAAATAAGAGCCTCTGATTTCTGGAAAAATACACACACAGAAGGAGCAGAAGAGATTCAGTTTCTTGTGTTCACCTATTAAATTTCCTGGGAAAAGACTGAAAACAAAGCCTCTGAGACTGAATACCCAGGTGGGCTTATATGGGAGCAAGCTGTCCCTAAAGTCTATTAGGAAAACCCTAATTTCTTTCCAGCTATTTTATTCTGCCCTGGGAAAAAGAAAGCTGAACCTTTCATGTACATGCAGTCACTCAACCATTTATTTCAACCCTCCCATCTCTACCAGCCAGTCAAGGGGCAGATTATTTGGTATCGTTCTTTTCACCCCATCCACCATATTCTTCAAAGGTTCCTTGTGATTTTAAATATCCACTGCTGAATCGCAGAATGAGCAAATGGAGCTACCAGAGAAGTACAGACTGTTGATCATTCATGGCCTCCTGCCTTTTATGTTCAAAAATGCAAAGCTATTCTGATCTAGTAAACCAACCCAGGAACGAACCCGAGATGTTTTGGCGTCTTGTTCTGAATTTATAGCTACATTGGAGGTTACAGAGAACCAACCTGCATGACCTGTTTCCATCTCAGTTTCAGTTCAGCCACTGGCTCACCAGTCAAGCCAGTCTGCAAGGACTCTCATCAGCTGAAGCTGCAGGGAAATGAGGTCAGGCAGCTCCTAGCTCTGCAACAGGGCTTAGCTTGGCAGCTCACTTTGGCCCAGGAAGGGGACTGTGTCAGCATAGAAACAACTGTGTCACACCCCAGACTCCCTAAGAAACAGAGCCAAATCTGTCATACCTGCTTGAAGTTCACTACTGCTTTTATAACAGGAGATGCCGTAACTAATAAAATATGGTCAGATGGAAATTCTGCAGCCAGCTTGTAAAAAGGGGGAGAGAAAAAGGGTATGATTAGTAACAGTCCATGCTAACCGACCCACCAGTCCATGTTCTTCCAGACACTCAAGCCGCGGAAGGTTTTGCTTTGTTTTTAATGTGTTAATGTCATCCTCTATCACTCACTCACAACTGGCCCTCAGCAGCAGGCTGGGTGTCCTTGGGGTGGTTCCATGCAGGCAGCAGGGCTGAAGTTTCACTAGGAAAAAACCCAGGGGAATTCATCCTGCACAATTCATTGGACCAATTAAGTTCCATTTGAGAAGTTGTGACCTCGATTGTGAATCCTCATGACTGCACATAATTTCAGTGCTGAGATTCACACCCAGAAATTCACAGCCAGATTCGGTTGTCCCAGTGTTGCCCATGAATGCATGGATACTGAGAGACGCAGCACATGTGAGAGCCAGTGGGTGCCAGGGATCCAGGAGATCTGGGTTCTAGTCCCCACTCGGCCATGGGGCTCACCTGGGGCCAGTCACAGACCTCACCTGGTTGTTGCTGTTGTGGGGATAAAATGGAGCTAGGTAAGGTGACTTGGGTTCCTCACAAGAGGAAAAAAGGTGGGATGTAAATGCAATATTTTATTTATTTATTTATTTATTTATTTTAAGATTTATATCCTGCCTTTTTCCTGCAAAGGGCTCAAGGCAGCTAACATCATTCTCCTCCTCCATCTTATCCCCACAACAACAACCCTGTGAGGTAGGTTGGGCTGAGAGTCTGTGACTGGCCCAAAGCCACCCAGTGGGCTCCATGGCTGAGCGGGGACTCGAACCCAGATCCTCTGAGTTCCAGTCCCATGCTCTGAACCACTACACCACACTGGCTCTCCTATGATAACAATAAGAATAATAGCAATACCTGATACAATCAGTATTGTTCAGGAATCAGCAAGGAATGCCCTGTTCTTGTTTTTGTTTTTTTTAACTTTTTGGATTTGTTCCTTTGAGGCGTTTGTAACGTAATATGAAGATACAACATTGCATTTCACTGACTGACAGAGGGATCTTCGAGCAGTCTTTCCTAACTTTATGTCCTGCCATCAACCCCCAGCCAGTATGGTGAACACGTCTGGAAGACATGCTATATATAATTAGGCAGCGGTTACAGGTGACTATCACCCCCCTTCCCCATAGACACACCCCACCCTTCCACACATGGCTGTAATATGCCCGTAAGAAAACTGGTCTACCTTGCAGGGGTCCTGTAAGACATCCTGCTTTACACTTGAGAAGATGGAAATAAAAACCATAGACTGAATTTGCAAGTAAGATTTGAACATGGACTCTGACTTTTTCTTTTACTTTGTTTTTTGAGGTGCTGGACAGGGGCTGCTGCCCAAATGCAGCTTAAATGAAGTCACAATTGAGTGGCATACAAATGTTTTAAATAAATAAATAAATAAATAAGTCTTCACCATTATTTGTTAGGAATAGCTACTAATTAATCTGACAGAAAAAGAGGAGACGAAAAAGACACCATGCATGATTGAACTACGCTATTCCATTGTCCAAAAATGAAACTTCCTGATTCTTTTTGGCTGTAAATATTTATTCCCTTTCCTATGATAAAAGTAAGAGTTCCCATAGAAAACAATGAAGCATTGTTTGGGCAGGGCAGCTGCAGATCTAACTTGAAATGAAAAGGTAGTAGCAAACACAGAAAGACTATGAACTAACACATCTTATTAGGCTTGAAACATTTTTTAAAAACCATTTAAAATCTGTCCCGATTCCCTTGAACCAATATGTCAGTGTGTGCAATTGTGTGCAAAGAGAATGTGTTGTGGATAAGAAAGAGTCACTTGGGATTAGCTGGCAATATAATCTACTATTAATTCCAAGGCTGCTTTGGGTTTCCAGCTCCCAGACCTCCACACAACAAGTGATCATTTTCAACACAGGTCGATTTACTTAGGGTGCTGTTTAATGTGTGTTTGGTGCCAACAAAGTCCCACAACCCTGGGTCAACTGTTCTTTCCTATTTGCCTAGGATTGCTCCCTTAAGCCACTCTTTCAGTCCAAACCAAACAGGTATGTGCATTTCCATGGCCTGGGAGGCAGCCACAATATACTTCTGAATGTTTAGAACTTAATGAACCTATCATGGTAGGCAGATAAAAGACATAAGAGGAAGAAAAAATGCTTTGATCACAAGTTGATTTATTAGCCTATCTCAAAGATCACAGAAGGATACCAGGTGTCAAGATCTCCAGATCTCTTCCTCCAGCAAGATGTTAGAGGGGAAAAAACAGGTTGGTGGGCCAGAGTTTTCCAGTTTATTTTCTGTTGCCCCCAACTCCTCCACCACCTTTTTGTAATGTCTTTCCTGATGAAGAGACCTGTAGCTCTCCTAAAAGAATGCAGTCTTGTCCAAACTCAGAAAGAAAAATGATCTTCCAGTGAGACACAGAGTTGTAGCCTTTTTCTCTCTCTCTAAATATACACAGGACTGCATTTTAAATGCATTTAAAATGTATAATTAATGTATAATTAAAATTAATGTATAATGAAATGTATAATTAAAATGTATTAAAATGTATAAAATAGGGCTTTTGGAAAAAAATAACAACTAAAAAGGGATTGATCTGGCACTGAAAAGAATAAAGTGTCAGTGCCAGGCAAAACTCTCTGGGGAATGTATTCCATGACCGGAATTCCATGCAGAGAAGGCCCTTCTCTGGGTAGCCACCCTCCTAATCTCCTTCAAGGACGGCTCCAAAGAAGGACCTCCTCCCCAGATCTTAAGGGGTGGACAGGCACATAGGGCAGGAGGCGCTCCTTCAGGTATTTGGGACCCAAGCTGATGACTTTATAGATCATCATCAGCACCTTAAATTGGGCCAGACTTCAATTGGCAGCCACTGTAGATAGTAAAGGACTGGCGTTATATGTGCATATCTGCCGGTCCTTGGCTTTATCTAAGGAGTGGGGAGGAGCTGCACCCAATCACACCTGAACTAAAAGTCCAGGTTTCTCTACTGTTTTCAATGAGGGATGTGGGTTTAGAACAAAATATACTTTCCAAGGTTAACTCGGAAACTGGAGACCAGTGCGCGTATCTACTTTTCTAAGTCTATGGAGCGACCAGGAAGTCTGTGTCTCCTAGCAATCTATTCTCTACCGGACGGGTGGGGGGAAGAGAGAGAGAGAGAGAGAGAGAGAGAGAGAGAGAGAGAGAGAGAGAGACCCCTGGAACGCGCATGCGCTTAGGGTACGCACGCTATGACGCTGCCAGGACAGTCCGTTACCCGTTCAGCGCACGTCACTCCAGCGATGCCGCCTCCCACCACAATGAACCGACTCCGGGCGGCCCCGCTGGTGAAGCGTGGACTCGAGTCGGCCGCCATAACTTCCCCTTAATCCTCTGGCTGAGTGATGCCTCCTGGTGTCACTCAAAGGGTCTAAGCATTCTGGCTACGGGTCTCCACAGGGGTCAAAAGAAGGCATTTTGCGTTTCTGACGTTTGCACGCCAAAGGGGCGGGGATGTGTGACCAGAAAGATAGAGGTGGATCTCTATTGCCCCCGCGCCTTTGCGGTCGGATAGCGACGTTGCAACTAAAGATCGCCGCTTGGGCGTCTTAGTTTAGCTTTAAGGCATGGGGAGATTATTAAGAAAGCCAGGCTCCGGAAAGCGTGCAAGTGATAGTCACGTTGAAATGTGATTCAGAACATAGATGGACTGCTCTAAAGCCATTTTACGCACAGTCTTGTGCATGCTTAGGCAGAACATTAAATGCTTACAACTCCCAACACTGTCCAGCCATTTTGCATATGATTGCACCCCAAGAAATCTTTAAAGAGGGAGCAGAGAAGTTTGTGGCTCTTCAGTGGCTCTACATGCATTTAGCGCTGTAAGAACATAAAAGAAGCAGACCAAGGACCATCTCGACCAGCATTCTCTTCACACAGTGGCCCCCAGGGGGAAATGAGTGCAACAGCTTCCTTAGGTCCATGTTCCCCAGCATCTGGTGCACACAGGCATCCTGCCTCCTTTCCTGATGCGATCATAAAGCCATCTGGACTGGTAGCCACAGATCTCCTTCCCCACTGTGAATTAGTCTTACCCTCTTTTCAAGCCATCCACATTGATGGCTGACCTGCCATCTTGTGGAGGTGAATTTCAAAGCTGAATAACTGCTTGAAGAAAGATCCCCTTTTTCTGTTCTGAAGCTTCTACCAATCTGCTTTGAAAGGAAGGGTGGAAATGGCTTCCTTTCTACTTTCATCACTTGGAGCAGTGCACTGAGCAGGGGGTTGGACTCTGTGGCTCTCTGGCCCCTTCCAGCTCTACTCTTCTGTGATTCTATGTGCCTGGTTCTAAAGCTGATGCTCAGATACTTTGGCCACCTAGTGAGGAGGAAGGACTCATCGGAAAAGGCCCCGATACTAGGAACAATTGAAGGCAAAAGGAGAAGGGGACGGCAGAGGTGGAGGTGGCTGGAGGGGTCACTGGAGAGGTGGGTGTGGGCTTGGGTGGACTCCGGGGGATGGTGGAGGACAGGAGAGCCTGGAGGAATGTTGTCCATTGGGACGTGATGGGTTGGGCAAGACATGGCGACTAAACCACAAAATCTGCATGTGTATTTTGACTCACATTCTGGGCTGGAGTGTGCTAAACTTAGTCTCTTCAGCTGGAGAGTATCAGGAAAGCTAAGGCATGGCTTCAAGATTGCAGAAAGTTTTAGATGATTTTGGTGGATTTGCACTGGGCGTAGCAAAGATTGTCGTGGGTCTGAAACTGCCTACCTGTGAGTTTCCTTCCCATCCACTTTGATCAATGCACACCTTATCTTTGTCATTGCACAGTTGCCCAAATTTTCTTGTGCTCTTTTTCTCCAAAGAAAAGTTTCACTTCAGAGATGGACAAGCAGAAAGCAATCTCAAGAAATGAGTTATGGTCCTGAAAGCCGTAGCTTTTAGTCATAGATGGCTTTTGCTCTGTTTCCTATTATTTAAAAAGGAATGTTGCTTTCCAGGCTAAATGTAATTTCCCAGAGCCAAGAAATTTCTAGACAGTTTGGCCATAAACTAAATACTGCCAATGTGAATGACCTGACCCAAATAACACAAGATATTGGACAGACATGCATTGTAAGAAATGAAATACACCTCTGAGGTTTTTCTCATCACCACAGTACAGTCAGGAGAAAATGAGGAATTTCCTCTATTTCCTCTGTAAATGGATGCATTTCACGTTTGCATAGTAACTTCTATGATAACCAGTTGCATAGTTCTAGCAAGGCTGGGCAAATATAACCTTTATTAGGGCCAAAGCCAGATTCCCTTCAACACCGCAGTGTAATGTACGCTTCCCTGCATGGGGGTCCCTATGAAAGTTTCATGATTGCTGCATCGAAGTCTGCACATATGAAAGCCAAATACAACTTAGTGAGTGCAGAGAAAGGAGGGTTCGGAATACACACGTGTTTTTGGTTGAATATCAGCTACTAACAGAGTTTCATTTCTTCCCAGATGTTTCCCCTTTAGCTGTCTCTAGAGCAGGCATAACCATCCAGTACAGAGATAGAAATCACATGACTCTGGATGTCTTGATTACTTATATATTTTTCTCAGTATTAAATACTGCCCATTCCCATAGGATCTGGACTGTTTGAAAGAAATTAAAACCAACAGTGAGTCATATTGACCAAACACAGCATATTAAATGAAACTGATATGAGAACTATTCTGGGAAGGCCTTCAGCAGAGATGGATTTTTCACTTCCTCCTATTGGCCAGACCACTGTGGCTGGAGACCCACATTCCTGGGAGGTCCTCTATGGCAGCGATGGCGAACCGTTTAGAGACCAAGTGCCCACACTGCAACCCAAAACCCACTTACATATCGCAAAGTGCCAACACTACAATAAAACCTGAAAACTGAGGTTTTAGTTTAGAAAAAACACCTCACAGCCAGTCCAAGCAAATATATGGCAGCGCACTGACTGGCCATGCGAAAGCTTGGACGAGCCATGACTAAGGAGTCGCGGCTCGTGACATCATCGCCTGGTGCCACTACTCCTTTCCGAGCATGCGCGTGGCCCCTGTGTGCGCTGTTATCCGATGCTCAGCTGCTGGGGCGATGCTGGGGCGACTTGGCTTTCATGCTGGCAGAGAGGGCTCTGTTTGCCTGCTGTGGCACGCATGCCACAGGTTCGCCACCATTGGCCTACCCTACCCTGGTGCACTCCCCTAACCCTAATACAGGACTGAAGTTCCATGGAAAAGAGGGCGATTTGGAAAAAGCCTTCCTGGAGTAGCTTTTTCTGCACAGCTCAACATTTCTGCCCCTTCTAAACACATTCCAACCATCAAACTCATGCCAGGACACCTCATTTTTCTAACCCTACCCCAACCCTGGTGCACTCCCCTAACCCTATTATAGGGGTAAATGTCCATGGAAAAGAGGGCAATATTATCTGGCTGTATCTTTAAACAGGGCTCAACCTCTAGCTTTGACTGGTCTATCTAGAAAGAAGAACCTTAGAAGTCAAGAAATTCCTTCAGGCAACTCCTGACCAGACCATCAAAAGCCCAATGGAATTCTCATACAAATCACGTTTTGTCTCATGCCTCTGAAGGGTTTGTTTTAGCATTTAAAATTGTCATGTTGCAGAAAACTGAAATAGAAACCAAGCACACAGTGTGGTCCAGTGGTTAGAGTGTTGGCCTGGGGACTGCTTCTCAACCTCACCTACCACACAAAGTTGGCTTGATGCTAAAATGGCGAGGAGGCGAACAGTAGTTTTCGTGAAAGAGGCAAAAAGGGTGGGGTATCAATGTAGAGTTATAAATGCAATAGGAATGTGCTGTGGAAAATCACATCTATCCATAAAGGCAGGCAGAGTTCATTGTGCGGCTCGTTGCCTAACCTCTGCAGAGGTGGCCCTTGAGCACTAGGGTTGCGTTCCTGCCATTGTCTGTCTTCTTTTCCTGCCACCTTTCATGCAGCCTCCAGGCTGCCCAACACCGTTCAACGGGAATCCCCCCGGATATTTGCAAGCACGAAGCTGGGCAGCCCAAGAGCACCTTTCTGATTCTCAGATGTAATCAGCTCCTCTTGTCATTACCAGCCTGCGATTGGTGGCCCTTTTGGGGGAGACCTTCCGAGCGGAGATGGTATCATCATCATCCGTCATGCCTCGAGGAGGTGGCGCTTGACAGTTCTATTTCGCTGCTCATTATCCGGCTGCACCAGTGTCGCTCAACGTGACTTGTGTCTGCCCGTGGAAGCCCAAATTAGTTCTGCCAGCGGGAGTTGCGAGATGTGAAACTGGGCCTTGTGCTTTTGCAGCCCCACTCTTCCAACCCCTGAGCAGGTGGGATAGGTTGCCTGGGCATCAAGCAAGAGGGTCCACAGGACAAATGGACCAGCCGGCAACCATAGCCTGAAAAGTGTCAACCTTTCAAGAAAAATCAAATCCCCTTGGTTTGTTTCTATCTTTCTCTTTTCCGAGGGGTTGCATATATTTATCTGTAAAGCAGAAAGCTTTGAAAGGTGATGCCAACCACCTAAGGTGTCTATAAATAATTCAGAAATAATTATGTTCATGTAGACTCAATAGCTGATACCCTCAAGGTCATTGACAACAGTTCATAAAGCGAAAAGTACCATAAAGCCCCATACAAATGGTTTAAAATGCAAAAATTTTAAAAAGAAAGCAGCTAAAACAAACTTTGATGCAGAGTCGACCCGAAAAACATCTGGGATAAATGATCCTCTCGCAGTCTTAAATATCCCTGTATGCCTTTTAGTGCTCTAGCTTTGTGCTAGAAAACATCAGAAGGACTTAAGCAGCTGAGGTAGATGAAGGCGATGGAGCCATGTTGGGATCAACACAGGGACCGATTTATTTAGGGCGCAACTGCGCAGAAAGCTGTGGGGCTTCCTTTTGTCTAAACATGCATGAGGTTGTGTTGGAGGTGAGAAGAGCAGTTGCTCTTGGTGCACCTCCCCAGGTCATGTGATCAGGACTCGGAGGAGGAGGAGGAGGAGGAGGAGGAGGAGGAGGAGGGCAGGGAGCTTGGAAAGTGGGCCAGTTCCAACACAGTGATAAGAGGAGTTGCTTATCTCAAGGTCAGGCCCTCAGGTGCTCAGGAAGCCTCTGAGAATATCCAAGAGGAGCTTGAAACGGGAGTTTCTCAGACACAGACAAGGTGGATACAGCTGTCTACAGTGATGTGACACTGGAAAAAGTCAGCTCAATTAGAGGATCAGCGTGTACAGAGAAGGGACGCTCCTTTCCAAAAGGCTCCTCCTGAAAGGATGGGGCCCAAACTTACTCATAAGGAGAGTTCCTAGAAGTTAAGGCTAGATGGGGTTCATTGAACCACTCTGTGCATGCTCAGAGATTCCTACTGGGTGACTGTGCTTCT